ATGGACAATATTTAATGTACAGTACAACACTTGCATTACAATAATTGTCCAATCAAATGGCACTTCACTATAAGCATCTTGAACAATATGATATGACGAATGCCATGTTATATTGGGTCATTACCACCATCACATAGCTGACCATGACCCTGCCACAAAGTATTGGAACAGTGGAACCATCTGGAAAATGCTAAATGTTCAAAGGACAATTCACCCACATTTTGACATATTGGTTTCCTTACCATATAAGACGTCTACGGACAAGGTAAGACCGAAATCTATGCTCTGGCCACTAACTACAGCAGTCTCCATACCCACTCAGTTGAGAAAGTAAATAATCTGATAAAACACGGTCATGACAGATCTGTAAGTAAAAATAAAGGCCCATATTTTAACCAATCAGCATCCAGGATTAGACCCACCCATTGCATAAAGGCCAATATTCATATGAAAATGAATGATTACTTACCCACCTTTCTTCATAGTGCATGTCAGGGTAAATTGATTGACGTTCACTTTTTTGTGCACTCACTCAGTTGTTATCCCACATATACAGAGTACATTATACCAGCAGTGATACATTGTCATTTATTGTGTTCATGAAATAGCTGAATCTATTGAGATATGTGACTAGTTTCAGGAAACTAGGCATATGTCATGCGTCACTACTTCACAGGCGAGCCATTTGAACGTAAACTTTTCAAAATGCGTGTTTTGGCAGAAATTCCTTCTGGAACATGTGAACTTTCATGTGCCTTAATAACAAACTTGTATGCCATCTGTAAATACGAATAAAATGGTTAAAATGACGAGCCTAGTTGGTTTAGCCACGGAAAAAGACAGCAACCTTCACGCTAGCCATGATTGGCTGAGATAATGAGGGCTGGACATGCCGAGATGAGATGAGCTGATGAGCTGGTCAGTATGTATAGGTAATCCTTTCTAATGCAGCTTTAAAAAAATATATCACTTAGTAGATCTGCATAAGTGTTGCTCTCCACTTTCTGGAGGACCGAGTTTTGAAATCAGTGGAATTAGAGTATGACAGCTAAGGAGATGGAGAAAATTCTGGCGTTTGATTGCAAGTATGCAGTCGGAGTCAAAAAGAGAATACACAGAAGGCTGTTGGATAAAACACCAGTCTCCGGATTACATCTTCAAACTAAGGGCAACCATGGCATCCGTGACAGAGAGGGAGAAGCTACATTTTCAGATATTACACGTTTCTAATTTTGTCAGAAAGACGTTTTCATTTGAATTTAAAGTGTACTGTTAGCTAGCTAGCTAAGGTTAGCTGGCTTGCTCACTACAGTGAGGGAAAAAAGTATTTAATCCCCTGCTGATTTTGTACGTTTGCCCACTGACAAAGAAATGATCAGTCTATAATTTTAATGGTAGGTTTATTTGAACAGTGAGAGACAGAATAACAACAAAAAAATCCAGAAAAACGCATGTCAAAAATGTTATAAATTGATTTGCATTTTAATGAGGGAAATAAGTATTTGACCCCCTCTCAATCAGAAAGATTTCTGGCTCCCAGGTGTCTTTTATACAGGTAACGAGCTGAAATTAGGAGCACACTCTTAAAGGGAGTGCTCCTAATCTCAGATGGTTACCTGTATAAAAAACACCTGTCCACAGAAGCAATCAATCAATCAGATTCCAAACTCTCCACCATGGCCAAGACCAAAGAGCTCTCCAATGTCAGGGACAAGATTGTAGACCTACACAAGGCTGGAATGGGCTACAAGACCATCGCCAAGCAGCTTGGTGAGAAGGTGACAACAGTTGGTGCGATTATTCGCAAATGGAAGAAACACAAAATAACTGTCAATCTCCCTCGGCCAGGGGCTTCATGCAAGATCTCACCTCGTGGAGTTGCAATGATCATGAGAACGGTGAGGAATCAGCCCAGAACTACACGGGAGGATCTTGTCAATGATCTCAAGGCAGCTGGGACCATAGTCATCAAGAAAACAATTGGTAACACACTACGCCGTGAAGGACTAAACTCCTGCAGCGCCCGCAAGGTCCCCCAGCTCAAGAAAGCACATATACAGGGCCGTCTGAAGTTTGCCAATCTGAATGATTCAGAGGAGAACTGGGTGAAAGTGTTGTGGTCAGATGAGATGCTCTTTGGCATCAACTCAACTCGCCGTGTTTGGAGGAGGAGGAATGCTGCCTATGAGCCAAAGAACACCATCCCCACCGTCAAACATGGAGGTGGAAACATTATGCTTTGGGGGTGTTTTTCTGCTAAGGGCACAGGACAACTTCACCGCATCAAAGGGACGATGGACGGGGCCATGTACCGTCAAATCTTGGGTGAGAACCTCCTTCACTCAGCCAGGGCATTGAAAATGGGTAGTGGATGTGTATTCCAGCATGACAATGACCCAACACACACAGCCAAGGCAACAAAGGAGTGGCTCAAGAAGAAGCACATTAAGGTCCTGGAGTGGCCTAGCCAGTCTCCAGACCTTAATCCCATAGAAAATCTGTGAAGGGAGCTGAAGGTTCGAGTTGCCAAACGTCAGCCTCGAAACCTTAATGACTTGGAGAAGATCTACAAAGAGGAGTGGAACAAAATCCCTCCTGAGATGTGTGCAAACCTGGTGGCCAACTACAAGAAACGTCTGACCTCTGTGATTGCCAACAAGGGTTTTGCCACCAAGTACTAAGTCATGTTTTGCAGAGGGGTCAAATACTTATTTCCCTCATTAAAATGCAAATCAATTTATAACATTTTTGACATGCGTTTTTCTGGTTTTTGTTGTTGTTATTCTGTCTCTCACTGTTCAAATAAACATACCATTAAAATGATAGAATGATCATGTCTTTGTCAGTGGGCAAACGTACAAAATCAGCAGGGGATCAAATATTTTTTTCCCTCACTGTAGCTGTATGATCTGTGTAGTAATATTATTCATATCTCAGAGCTATTTGCATTGCTAGTTATAGCCTAATGTTAGCTAGCTAACATTGAACCTGGTTGGTTAGCTACCTGCAGATTCATGAAGGGTAGTAACGTTTTGAGTTGGGATTGTTTAGCTAGCTAGCTACATGTCTAAACAAAAGACTACACTATACAAGTAACCATTTCAATAGAATGTTCATGATGTCACTACGACAACTGTCGATAGACGTAGCTGGTAAATTCGCTCTGGCTATCTACTCCGATTTCAGAGCACTCTCATCTGAGTGTGCCAGAGTGCAGAATAACTGACACATTTAAGAATGCTCAACACCCGTTGAATATGGCCTGTGTCAGTAAACGTTGGCAAAAATATTTTTCTCAAAAGTGAGGTTACAAGTTTATCAACTTTCAAAGCAGAATTACTTTCCCATTGTTCCTCAACTGTAGTGTATGAAATACAATTTTCTAGCTCTGAGCCCCTACTTTTATCCAATGTAAAAAATAAAAAATAATTCAAGACCGAATCGAGCCGGTCGGTCATTTATTTTCTAAACAGAGGTCATACAACACTATCTTTACAAGGAAGGCCTTGCTTTGCCTTTTGGAGCAATAGCTATGTACACCCCACAAAAAACACAAAACCTTTGCAATAACTATGTGGTAAATCTTAATCAGTAATTTATTTGTTGGCAAACAAGTTTCACTGTTACAACAAATATTAGTTATGAGGTCATTCAACTTGGAAACCAATACAAAAATGAATAAATAAAAAGCCATAATCATACTCATAATAAAAACTAATCTGTGCTGCTAAATTCTTTACCTCCATTTATCACTTTATTTTGTCTTTTGAACAAATAAATAAATATATTTTACCGCAACACATTTCCAGTTGTTTTTCCTCACTCAAAAAGTTCAGTTTTGCAGTGCCTAGTTGCTTATTGATATTCAATTTGTTCTCTTTCTCTCTGAGAAGCACCTGTCTCTTTTAACTGATGAGAAAATAAAATAGCTTTCTCTCTGCAGGCCAACTCTTCGGACACTTGTGATTTCGTCCCCTTCTACGGTGGGTGAACCAGAATTATCTTTCTATCTACACAGTGAAGAAATAATCAAACTGTAAAACTAAAATGGTTCAGAAAACATGGGCGGTTACATCGCTAGAGAACAAAATCATGTACGGTAAGTGTTTTGTGATTTTTTTGGGGGTGTTATTTAGTTTTGTTGCTTTGTTTGTTGTTTCTTGGAAAAAATGAAAAGTTAAAATAATGCTCAAGACCAGCACAACAGAAAGGAAATGCTCCGCAACAACTACATTTACAGAGACAAAGGTTTGGGTGGAACAAAAATCATACTATTATGTGCAATGCTAGTATCTGTACATTTACATAGAAATATCTCATAATTCTCTGTTATTCGTTTTTTTCTTTATCTTTTTCAACAATTATTATTGTTACAGCAAAATAAAAAATAAAAATAAAAATATGCTGTAAAGCACGTGATTTAAAGTCCTTCATTGTTCAAAATAAGTTTAGTCGAACTTGCAGGAACACTTCAGCACAAAATGTGCTGCAATATCACCATAGAGGAAGAACCCCCCTTAAAAAGCCAGTATGGATACAGAAGTATAATAAAATAGTCTTATTCTTGATTTGTTCTGATTTTAACTCTACACATCAACTAGTAGCAGAACGTTTTTGGGGTCCGTTTGTAGTTCCTTTGGACTGTCAAAATGCATTTCAGAGCCTGAGATCCCGCTATCCCGAGTGTTCATCTCCCCTCCCACTGAAAGAAAACACATCAATCCATACAAGGTTCGGCATCTGGCAAAAAAAGTGAAATGCACATCAACAGATTTCTCCAACATCTAACCGAGTTGAGTCGTATTATCCACAAAACATAACAGTTTCAATATTCTGTTTGCGGTCAGTATTAGACAGGCATCACTTTCGCTTTTCAACTTCGGGACACAGAGTAAAAAAAAGGGGGAACGCGTAGGGAGAAGGGGAGGCAGAAAAAAATGGGGAACCACACGGCGAGAAGGGATTGGGGCGAATGGGTCAGGGGGGTTGGGTCTGTAGGCCTATAGGCTCGTGACCAGGTGAGAGGGCTCCTGGGGGGCCTCTTCAGGGGACAGATCCTCCTTGTTGGGGGGCACGATGAACCCGTCGCTGCTGCCCCTCCCCAGCTGGTAGTAGGAGTGTAGCTGGTGCAGGTGGTTACGTGAGCCCAGGTTGGGCATGCTCTTGTAGTAGACGTCGTCCTGGCTGGCCTCTGGGCTCTTGCCCCCTGCCGGGTGGCCCTCTCCGGCATCTTTATCAGCGAGGGGGGCAGTGGTGGTGCCGATGGCTGTGGTATCCGGTAGGCCTGCCAGCACGGGCATGCTGGTGTAGAGGGAGTCCATGTGGTGGTGCAGGTGGTGGGGGTGGGGGCTGGGCGAAATGGGCTCCACGTCCTGGGTGTTCTCGTTGGTGAGCAGGGGGAAGAAGCTCTCGCTGTTTTCCTGTGGGATCCGCCGGCGGGACGAGGATGAGGTGGTGGTGGCCGAGGAGAAGGCTGGGTGGTGGTGGTGGGGGAGCGGAGGCTGATGCGGCGGGCCCTGGTTGTGGAGGTGGTTGTGGTGGAGGTTGTCCACGGGCGGCAGCAAAGGGGGTCTCTGGGGCAGAAGGGGGGCGTTGGACTCCTCCCGAATCAACTCCAGGCCCAGACCCTCATCGTGGAGGTGCGGGGGGAAGGAAGATTGATCGTCCAAGCCCAGTGCCACATTCATCCCCATCCCTACACCCATCCCCATCAGACCAACATCCTTGCCTCCGTTGCTCACATTGTTCACCAGCTTGTTCATGAGGTTGCGGTTTTGCTCGTGATTGTTCAGATAGGAGGGGATGTAATTGGAGGTCAGCTCTTTCAGGATCTTCTTCTCCAGCGTGGTCTCCTTGTGGTTGTAGCCCCGGTCGATGATCTGGACACAGTCGCTCATGTACTCGGCGCTGGCGATGCTGTAGCTGTTGCCATGGTTACCATTCAGTGGTAGAGTATCCATGACACTTGTATCCCGGGCATTGTTCAGGATTCCCTCTGTGGGACAAAGAGGAAAAGAGGAGGAAAGCTAATATGAGAGGGACGGAAGTAGCGGTCGCTCATTAGAATGGCTAAATGTCAGCCGCTTGGACGTGTTCATGCACACATTAGGCCTGCCAAAACTATCTCCTTTCTTTTAATGTGTTGTGCAACCTTCAGGGTGGCTCACAGATTGTGATATCTAGGACTAGTTCAACATTTTTCACTTCAATTTTGTGTTGTGTATATATATGTTCACTAACTGCAAGATTGTCTAAATGCTTTAACATAGCCAGTCAATACAAGATACACTTACCTTTACACACGCAGCACACATTGAGTAAAATTATAAACTCAAATTGTTCTTGTAATGGAATCTACATTTCTATCATGATCCTCTCTGTTTGGCTTGTGTTGTGATGTAGTTGGGAATAACTTTGTCCAAACATGAAAACATTTATATACGTGTGACAATCGACAACATGTAAAGCTTTAGGCACATACACTCAACAACAACAAACCACAGCCATGCATTTTGTTTTAAGAGCGAGATACACTACCTACAGCTCTGTCTATACATTTGGACCCCAGTCATATTATCCCCTATTTAAAGGTACACTCAGCAATATGCCATATTAATACACTGGGGGCAACTTCCTGCCTACAGCCATCAACAAAAACAACATTTAAATCTGCCACAATGTGGGCAATGGGGATTGAGGGTGGGGCAAATAGGGAAGAGCCAATAGTAGCAGTCTTGGCATATTTGAATTGTGTTGTTTTTTATGTCTGTTACCATGATGATGTCATACTGCTGAGTCTACCTTTAAGAAAGCTTAATCTTTAAATGGAGTTGGCCATAGACTAAAATAGAAAGAAAGTTCATGGTAAACTTACTGACTCTGCAATGATAAATATAGGCCATAGAGGATATGGTAATAAGGGGTCAACTTTACAGGTATACATTAGGAAAGGACTTTCTGTTCTCTCATGCAGAGAAAGTATGGATTTTTAATAGTAAAATTTCCACTGTGTCTTATAGGGATACGTCAATGCAAATTTGGAAAATGTCAACATTCAGCCTCACACAAGGTCTTCAGGCTAGTTAAAATGCGTTTGAAAGAGGAACATCTAAAGTTAAGCCTTTCCCCTCCTTTTTAGTTGTTGCAAAAACTGTATGTAGGTTTGACCTTTGTTTTCTCCAAAGTGCAGTTCAACTTGTATTCATTTAAAACAGTAACATATGCTGGTGGTGACCAAGTTCCAAGATTGGCATTGGATCTTGATTGACCAAGATTTGAGATTAATCCGATATCTTAGGACCAGGAGCATGCCGGCTACTTTGGCCAATTTAATCTTACATTATGGATTACAATGATGTCAGCTATTCGTGACAATGAGATCTTATCAGAGGAGGCTGGTGGGAGGAGCTATAGGAGGAAAGGCTCATTGTAATGGCTGGAATGGAATAAATGGAATGGTATTAAACACATCAAACATATGGAAACCATATTTGACTCCATGAATTCCATTCCAGCCATTACAATGATCCTGTCCTCCTATGGCTCCTCCCACCAGCCTCCTCTGGATCTTATTCTATCAAATGGATGCTCCTTGGGGCTGATCGATTTGCATAAGATATTAAGTTCTTTCAAGGCATCTCCTTTGTGAATATATTTGATCGACATTCTCCAGAAGTAGTTTATAATTTTTGGAATAGTTCATTGAACATTGTCCAATGAACAATAGTATTCAAACTTAAATTTACATTGACTAACATTTCTATTAGTCAGAGGAAGACCTGTGTTTATGAAATTGGATTTCTACTTCCAAATAAGATGACAGTTTTCTCATTCCCCCTTTGTCAGCATAGAGTGAAAAGAAAGTAAAGCTAAGGTCAATTACATTTGGTAAGCAATGTTTAGTTTGACTCCCATACTTGTCTCTCTGTAGGGGTCTTATGGACAGCATGAGGAAAAGGAAAGAAAGAAAACAACAAGTAAGCATAACAGTAACAGGTAGAAGAGACGTTCACACAGGGTTGATGATGCGTCCAGAAATGACATCCCGTGTGTGATGTCACCATGCGCACTTGATAACACTTTCTTAAAAACTATGATCACAGTATATTCAAGGGGGGAAAATGAGTTTACATATATGATGTACAGTATTAATCTTGTTATTACATTTGATGCTAGTAATCTCCATTGCCAACAAACACATGCCCCTATCACACCCATTGATTTTTTGTAAGCGGTGGCTAAAGTTAGCTGACGTTTGTAGTGGCTGTTTAGAGAAAACCAAACCATGGATTTTAGTTTCTCCTGGCCCATAGACTACTTTCCGGGTGAGCAACCACCTGACAACAAGTTGTAAAATCCTACACTTCCCCTTTAACTTTGCAGGTCACGTGTTAAAATTGCACCTATAGCAACCTACATGCATTTCCTTTGGTAACATTTGAGCAATTCTACTATAATCATCCATATTTGAACAGTTATATCCTACTGACATGCCAAAGTCATGATAGACTTGTAGAATGTGTACGATTTAAAATAGTGGATTGGTTCACATGTATCACTTTATTGATATTGCCATAACGATCTAGTGAGTACTACTGAGTGCTATTTGGACGGGTTCATCATTGATACAGTAGTTAGCTCTGCTGGAGTTACTCCATAAAACTCCTATTTGACAGTTTAGAATTGAAAGACGATAATAGCTATTTCAGCAGTATTGATCTGACTAAATATAGTTCAGTCACATTTTCAGACAATTTGCCTGACACGTGTACTTTTAACATATTGAACAGCTTTGGTAGAAAAATCTACTGTTTTGTGCCTTCTTTTTAATGAGCTGCAAAACAACAGTATTGTAGTGCATTGATGTTGTTTTTTGCTGGTTGTGCAAACATACTGCTTTACAGATTTTGAGGCACATAAGTACTAATAGAATACTGTCCATTTGCATAATTAGGAAGGTTAGGCGGCTTACATTTAGTGTCCTAAAAATTGCTAACATCATGTTGTCTTATTGGAAAGGATCCCAGAGGCAGAAAAGTGATGTTGTTTATCCTACTTCATTAGTAGCTCAGCTTCTGTGTTTTTTAAAATATTATAATCATTGATTGGGAGCACTAACAGAACAAAGATGTTCATTTAACAATCTACCAGCAACACTTACAAGATAACAGACATAAGACAATAGGCACAGCAGTGCACACAGCAAGCTTCATGGACAACCACAGCAAGCTTCATGGACAACCACAGCAAGCTTCATGGACAACCACAGCAAGCTTCATGGACAACCACAGCAAGGTTCATGGACAACAGTGCAGCAAAACATAATGTGACTGGTGGTGTATTCAGCTCCCAATTGGCGTGCTGATGTCCCGTACCAATAGTTTTGGTTTATTGCACCATTTCCCCACACTGAATTATGCATGCCAGGCAAGTGAGGCACATGAATGAGTTGAGTGTGACAAAATTATTAGTGACGGAATGGCATGCCCCAAAGGGAAGCCACCATACACCCCGTCCCGCCAAAAGCCTCCAGCTGGGGAAAACGCAGGTCTTTTGGAGACAAACGCAGATTTCTGTAGCAAAAAAGTAATGTCTAGCGACATTCATGAAGGAATGAAAAGAAGGCTAGCACACCTTGCGTGTTGTACATGCCCACTGATGGGTTGTTATAGACGGCCGATTCCCCGAGCAATGTGTTATAGGGATTGTTAGTGCCATGGGGACGGAGGAGAGCATTAGTTATGAGATGGTTAGCCATAGCCCCTGGAGCAGCCAGATAGAGACAGAGGGAGAGAAAGAGAAAGAGGGAAATAGAGGGAGAGAAAGAGGGAAATAGAGGGAGAGAAAGAGGGAAATAGAGGGAGAGAAAAAGAGAGAGAGAGAACATACGTATCAGTCAGGCAGATGCAGCCGAGGCAATGACAGCAATACACATTCACATGATCATTAGGGCAAGTTGTTAAACAGTTGGGCTACAGTAGCAAAGCTTGAAACAGACATGATCATTGTTTATCACGACGGCAGCAGTGAGGTGGGTCAATGATGACTCTGTTTATTCAATGGGATAAACGTCAATTTAGCATTGTTAGAAATGGTGTGCTCACATTCAAGAGGTGGAATTGGTGGGGGGGGGTCCCAAATTGACCATCTCAAGGGGAATCCTTTTGACATTTTACAAATGCTTTTGAGCTGAATGCTGTTTTCCCCTCCCAATTCCACAAGGTACAGATGCTAGCTGACGGTGTGCAACAGTACGAACATAGACATTGTTTTGAAGCATAGACATCCAAACGAAAACATAACACTTCAATAATGGACCTGAACATAACATGGTCAAATTACCACTTGACAGTATAGAACATGTTAATACCAAAGTTGACCAGATTCTTCTGCTTAACTCCATTTGATTTGAAGATGTTATGAAAGCTTTTGGCAGTTAACATTTCCGGGTTACTGTCTTACGTTGTGTAAATGGTCTAGATCTCCCATGCAATTTGTCCCGTAAAATATAGCCTTCAATTCTTTGCATTCATCTTTCCCATAGACAATTCCCTGGCAGAAATACCCTCAAATAAAACATCCTCATGGATGGTAAGCGTCATTACAGTGCTCATTGTAGTTCCTTTGTAGTCCCTTTGCCCTGTACCATATCTTTCTACTTTACTTCGTTTGAACAAAAGCAGAAGTTTGTGAGAATAGAGGCTCCGATTCTATTTGTCTAATCGTCACCCCCAGACTATGCGGCAGTGACTGATGCCTTTGTGTGACTCATCTGTTCCTAGATCAGTTCTAAATAAACCTTTTGACTTTGAGAAATATGACTAACTGTATCTAGACTAGAAGATAACACCATGTCTATGAATGAGGAGGAGGTAGTTTGAATGTGGGTTGAATGCCGCACAGCAGTTAGTGAGGAAAAAACGGACTGACTTTGTGAAATTGCATCATTTTGTGAAATATTGAAATATTGTGTGTTACGGTATCCAGTTGAACATATCTGCAATAAGCTGCTGTTTATATGTTATGTTCAAATTGCCGAAACATCTAAGAGTATGTTTTCTCTCTTCAGATTCAGAGCACATAATAAGATATTATTGCGATCCTAACATGCGCACTATGACATGCCCCATTCAAGTGTGCAGTGTGTACCAATGAGTGCGTAAATATCTTCCAAAAAACCCAAAAGTTCAGCAGAGGCGGAAATGCATGCCAATTAGTTCTGCCGACGAGGGACACTGTTCTCTCGCAGTGCTCTGAATCTGTCAGAGCCAGGAAGAGAGAGAGAGAGAGAGAGAGAGAGAGAGAGAGAGAGAGAGAGAGAGAGAGGGAAATGAAGGAGATAAACTGGTTCTCTAACGACCGATAACTCTGGACTTATACATACAGTGCCAGGGAATGTCAGTGTGTCTCAAATCTACGCCTGAACCAATTCTGAACGGAGAGGTATAGGACTCAAGGAAATGGCAGGAGTTGGAAGACGTATGACTAGTTATGATAGCTAACATTGAAGATTGTGTACAGCTCTGTTATGCATACTGTACTAAGTGCATAACGCACTGAGCTAATGATGACATGTTGGGAATGGGTTAATAGTTACAATATGTGTAATTTGGCCAGCAAGGGCATAATGGGAACGGTACAGATGAAAACTGCTGTTATGTGTGACTACAGGCGATATACTGTAGCTGTGCTATTGTCTTAGAACATTTATTATTGACTAGAACTTGAACCTAAATCAGTTTCCTATTGGGTTGTCTACTCCTCTGACCACACAGCGAAGCCAGTGTAGTGTTATAAACATGAACAAAATGGCCGACATTATCATTGCCCAAAGGACAATCCTGGAGCTTAGAAAAAAATATTTAAGTCCAATCAGTTATCTAGTTCAATAACTTTACTAAGTGAGTGTTCATTCTAGAGGCAAATCATTCTATGAATATATCATTGCAGGAGTATCTTCAACTCCAACAATCACATTGATGCATCAGAGCAGAATCACAAAATCACGATTTACTCACCTAAACTCCTCTTTTAGACTTAATTTGCATACATTGTTTGATGTGGCTATTAATATGGATGTATGTACTCATTAGGTTATAATTTCAGTTTGATATAATCACTATGTGCTCATTTCTTGTTGCGGTTGCTTTTGGTTCTCTAATTATGAAGCCTTCCAAAAATACCAGCCTATTTTGAAATTATAAACAGCTCCTCCCCACCCTCTGTTGGTTCCCCCACTTATGGGGTATGTGTTTGATCAATTGGACCATTTCCAAACCGTACCGATTGTGTAGCAATAATCGTGAATGCAGGGATAAATTAAACAAGTCGAGGCTATCAAGATGATTGCACGCTTCCCTCTCGAGAGGAGAGAAGTATGGAGTCAGCTGCAGTTATGCAGAGACTGTGAGGCAAGGTACTGAATACTGAGTTGAAGAAGGACTAGCAGGGAGAGATGTATGCTCTTCCACACATAATGTAATTCCATAATAACATTGCAGAGAAGAGCAAGGGGGAGGTTTGTGATGTTTCTGACGCTTCAGAACATGATGCGTTATCCTCCGCCAGACTTAGTGTTTATCCCCATGCGTTATACATCAGACCTGACGCGTTTCAATGCCTTGAGCTGAAAACGTGTTAATTAATTCACTCCCCTCTTCCTGGTCTTAGTGATACATCTATGGCAGTGTCTTCTAGGCCTGCCCACCCCACCAAGCTCCACCCCTTTCTCTCTCTCCCTCCCCCCGCTAAAAGCCAACGTCTTGGGATGGCGTTCGTTGCTGAGTGCCTAATTATTGAGATCTCGACACTTCCTCTCGCCTTCTAACATCAATCCGTCATCATAACTACGCATTAGTGTCCGGTTGAGAGGGAGCAGCGAGCAGATTTAGAGAGTGAGGTAGTGGCAGGGACTCAACCCCTCCATCAAGGGACCCCATGTCTGGAGAGGAGTCGTCCCTGAGAAATGTCAGGGGGGTGGCATCATCATCTAGTGCAGATAGGGTCTAGGAGGATGATATAATGCCTCTGACAGAGTAAGCACTAGACACGTGTATTTATTTGGACCGCCAACCAATACGTTATGGTGTATTTCTATGATCGTTTTGGGAGATAATTTTCATCATATAACGAAATTGGGAGATAAGCCTTTGTGGATGGTTCAACTTATTTTTAAAGAATAAAGCAATTATCATTACTTTGTTGGTTGACAACGTCATGAAGACTGGCATAGCATTAACAAATAGTCCTGCCTCAATTGAATATTTTGCTTTGAGCAATTCATTTTGGCATGTACTTTGGTTCTTGGTTCCATCAGGTGCAAAATTCAACGTTTTGTTTCTTAATTTGATCAATTAGCGCATACACTTTAACTGCATTATCATATTTAAAAGTTTAATTATTTTACAAAAGTCAAGGTCATTTAGGATGAGTTGATATTTTAATAAAGTAAGGGATTAATAATGTTTTATTAACAGCAGGACCCCTTCTATACGATCAGGTGAGTGGGAGACTAATGACTCTCTCATCTTAAAAAACTAAACTAAATGATATTCATCCAACTCTTTCCAGTGTACTCGTTCTGTGCACAAGTCACAAAGTGGACAATCTCTTATCAAGTGACAAATGCCACAGTCAAGTGTGAGAACCACCCATTGGCTACTATGCTGACTTGAAGGATAGTATATTTCAATCAGGACACTGGATGAGCATAGGGCAAGAATCTCCAACTCCGGTCCTAGAGAGCTACTGGTTGTGCATGATTTTGGTCCAGCCCAGAACTAACACACCTGAATCAAACAATCACGGTCATTATTCGTCAATCATTCGAATCAGGTGTCTTTGTGCTGTGGTTGAACAAAAGCACCCATAAGCTCTTCAGGACCCAAAACATTTACATTTACATTTACATTTTAGTCATTTAGCAGACGCTCTTATCCAGAGCGACTTACAGTTAGTGAATATATATATATTTTTTTTATACTGGCCCCCCCGTGGGAATCGAACCCACAACCCTGGCATTGCAAACGCGATGCTCTATCAACTGAGCTACATCCCTGCCGGTCATTCCCTCCCCTACCCTGGACGACGCTGGGCCAATTGTGCGCCGCCCATGAGTCTCCCGGTCGCGGCCGGCTGCGACAGAGCCTGGATTCGAACCAGGATCTCTAGTGGCACAGTTAGCACTGTGATGCAGTGCCTTAGACCACTGCGCCACTCAGGCAAAATCCTTCAGTTTTTTCACAAAGGCAATTCTTCCCTTCTTCCTTCACGTCACACAACATCAAAAACCTAAAGCAGAGGCTGGTGGGTTGCATGGCGTTCAAACATGTGTGGTGCAAATTGACTGATTATTACCTCTGTTCAACGACGCTGAGCTGTTGATGTCACCGGTTATGAAAGACGACTCTGACTGTTTCCTGACTGTGTCGTTCCACATCCGACGGATCCGGCTCTGCAGAAAGGGAACATTACAACCAACACGTCAGTGGGGTTTTGTAACGGTATTGTACTCAGTGCTTAAAGACTAGGTGGCCTCCAGTTAGGACATATACAGTATGTCTTGGGCATGTGCAGCGACATTCACTAGCAATATAAAAACACACCTCAACCCTGTGATGATACATTCATTCTTGTTGCTGAACACACACACAGTATATTATTGCATTCTTTGTTACTGTGTTTTACTGTAAGGCTTTGTAAAGGTTTGACTCCCAAACTCACAATAGTGTTATCACAATTTAGTCATTGCTACTGTTATTGCTAACTCTCGTTGCGGTTATTGCTACGGCTCACTGCTGTTATTTCTAAGTCTCACTGCTGTTATTGCTACCTCTCATAACTCTACACTGCTGTAAAAGTCAAGGCCATATTCAAGTGTACAAGTGCTTGTGGGAGTAGACCTGCCTTCAAATAGTAGTTATTTTTCTTTCAGATTCTTTAATCGTTTGATCGAGCCTTCCTGCAGTAACAGCATGGGCAGAGTTTGCACTTTTGGGACTATTCCATTGGTTCCATTGCGCCATGCAAGCTCAATCAAGCACAGTTTAAGTCTTTGAGCGAAAAAAAAAACTAATTATATTTCAACCCAGGGCTGTGTGGGAGTTGGGTTGTTCAGTGTCCATATTTCAAAGGTGTCTTTCTCTGTCCAAGTCTCACTTCCAACTTTCATTTAGAGAGAGAACCCTACCTCCCTAACCACCCAGAGCCCACCGGTTTATGATGTACTTTGCTAATTACACGTTCATTTAAAAGCCTCCGAATTGCCGATAAATTACAGCGTGTTTACGACCGCTTCCGTTCAAATGCGGTTCATGGCGAAAACTAGGCGTAGTGGTTAGCCGTCGTGTCAATGTGCTGCTATATATAATTAAAGGGTTCATTATGGATGCTGAAATCAGCTTCCGTCGTGACCGGGGCTGATGGTGTGCTGTTGACTATTTGTAAAATTCATAAATGTATTTTTAACAACCTATTCATTAACATTGACAAAGTAAATACAATAAACGTGCTACAATTAATCAAGTAAAAATCATTATCAGATATGCTCGTACTCAACCAAATACATTGAAATTTGAAAGATGTGAGAGGAGAGGCGCCACCTACCTGTGACCCTGTGGAATAGCGCCCTGGTGGGCGGGAGGCTGAGCTCTTCCCAGAGCCAATGGAACTCTCCACACTCTTGCCACTGCAGCAGTGGGTACGCAGACACTTTCCATACTCTTTACGCACCTGTGAACCACGCACCCACACACACACACACACACACACACACACACACACACACACACTCCCATTCAGATGCAGATAACCAAACAACTTTTCCGTGCTACTTTCAGCAAATGAATACTGTAGTTAATAACTACAATACTTTCTAGCTTGCTACATAGTAATAAGCCATGAAATGTAAAATTGTGAGCTAATCACTTCACATTTCATGTGTTAAAGTGGTGTGAAAGTGCTTTAACCAACTCTTTTTAGTAAGAGGAGCTAACTAAACTTATACAGCAAGTTAATACAGATAGGGGCGTACAGTGAGGGAAAAAAGTATTTGATCCCCTGCTGATTTTGTATGTTTGCCCACTGACAAAGACATGATCAGTCTATAATTTTAATGGTAGGTTTATTTGAACAGTGAGAGACAGAATAACAACAACAAAAACCAGAAGAACGCATGTCAAAAATGTTATAAATTGATTTGCATTTTAATGAGGGAAATAAGTATTTGACCCCTCTGCAAAACATGACTTAGTACTTGGTGGCAAAACCCTTGTTGGCAATCACAGAGGTCAGACGTTTCTTGTAGTTGGCCACCAGGTTTGCACACATCTCAGGAGGGCTTTTGTTCCACTCCTCTTTGCAGATCTTCTCCAAGTCATTAAGGTTTCGAGGCTGAGGTTTGGCAACTCGAACCTTCAGCTCCCTCCACATATTTTCTATGGGATTAAGGTCTGGAGACTGGCTAGGCCACTCCAGGACCTTAATGTGCTTCTTCTTGAGCCACTCCTTTGTTGCCTGGGCCGTGTGTTTTGGGTCATTGTCATGCTGGAATACCCATCCACGACCCATTTTCAATGCCCTGGCTGAGTGAAGGAGGTTCTCACCCAAGATTTGACAGTACATGGCCCCGTCCATCGTCCCTTTGATGCGGTGAAGTTGTCCTGTCCCCTTAGCAGAAAAACACCCCCAAAGCATAATGTTTCCACCTCCATGTTTGACGGTGGGGATGGTGTTCTTGGGGTCATAGGCAGCATTCCTCCTCCTCCAAACACGGCGAGTTGAGTTGATGCCAAAGAGCTCAATTTTGGTCTCATCTGACCCCAACACGTTCACCCAGTTCTCCTCTGAATCATTCAGATGTTCATTGGCAAACTTCAGACGGCCCTGTATATGTGCTTTCTTGAGCAGGGGGACCTTGCGGGCGCTGCAGGATTTCAGTCCTTCACGACGTAGTGTGTTACCAATTGTTTTCTTGGTGACTATGGTCCCAGCTGCCTTGAGATCATTGACAAGATCCTCCCGTGTAGTTCTGGGCTGATTCCTCACCGTTCTCATGACCATTGCAACTCCACGAGGTGAGATCTTGCATGGAGCCCCAGGCCGAGGGAGATTGACAGTTATTTTGTGTTTCTTCCATTTGCAAATAAAACTGTTGTCACCTTCTCACCAAGCTGCTTGGCGATGGTCTTGTAGCCCATTCCAGCCTTGTGTAGGTCTACAATCTTGTCCCTGACATCCTTGGAGAGCTCTTTGGTCTTGGCCATGGTGGAGAGTTTGGAATCTGATTGATTGATTGCTTCTGTGGACTGGTGTCTTTTATACAGGTAACAAGCTGAGATTAGGAGCACTCCCTTTAAGAGTGTGCTCCTAATCTCAGCTCGTTACCTGTATAAAAGACACCTGGGAGCCAGAAATCTTTCTGATTGAGAGGGGGTCAAATACTTATTTCCCTCATTAAAATGCAAATTAATTCATACATTTCTTTACATGTGTTTTCTGGATTTTTGTTGTTGTTATTCTGTCTCTCACTGTTCAAATAAACCTACCATTAAAATTATAGACTGATCATTTCTTTGTCAGTGGGCAAATGTACAAAATCAGCAGGGGATCAAATACTTTTTTCCCTCACTGTATATATAAAGCTTCTCAGAGTAGGAGTGCTGAATTAGGATCAGTTTTGCCTTTAGATCACAAAGAATAAGATTACATGGACAGGGCGGGACCTGATCCTAGATCATCACTCCTCCTCTGAGACGCTTTATGAATACGGTCCCTGAACCACAAGGTTAGAGTAAAACATGCACCTTCTTCTGGAGGACACAGTGGAAGATGAAGATGAACATGCCCTGCAGGGAGTTAAAGATGGTGAAGAGGTAGGCCATGATGACCGTGCTCTCGTTGACGTACATCAGGCCGAAGGCCCAGGTCAGGCCCAGCAGACAGAGCAGAGCAATGGCCCCAATCACCCACGATCTGGAAGCACAACGAGACAACGTCAAGACAACGGCAACATTCTGGACGTTCTCAGAACTGCTAGAGGAGTAACGACTGAACTTGATTACTTGTGAAAAGATACGTGCCTTCGATTTTTGTAGTCTGTAATTTCCTAAAGAAATGTACGTGAATTTTGCTCATCACCAACTAATCGCCAGTGATGATTGTGGACTAGGGCCCGCATTCTGTCTGACAGATATCTGTGCATACATATAGCTGGTTAAAAATATTAATTGACAGTAAAATCTGTAACTAAGTAAATATGTAATTGTCCCAGGAAGTTACAGGTGGAAATGCACAAATACAGTAATTGATTTGCTGGGGCAAATCAATAAGGTCTTAGTTTGGTTTCAAGACCAGATACAGGAGATACTGAGGAAACTTCTAAGTCAACCAATCCTCTGAAGTGGTGACTGTTCTCAGACTTCCCACTTAGCATTCTGTCAGTAGTGCACAACTCAGAAGAACCATCGTGACTACCTGTTCACTGAAGCACAACACAAAGAATGGCATTTAAAAATAAACGTTTTGCTATCTTGGTCTGTGAACATACTGATGAACCAAAAAGAGAAACACAGGTTAAAAAAAATGTCCACCAGACAGACAAAAGTACAAATCTAGATGAAGGGGAGGAGGGAGGAGAGAAAATCGACAGAGGAGTGAAATTGAATTTAATCATGTGTTCGCCATTTGTGATCGTCTGCTCCTTTGGGACACCTATCATTTTTCTCTCGCTCTCCTTCTTTCAAGTGTTGCATACATTATTCATCCATTACGTGACAGACCATCAGATAGTGTACTCTTTAAAACTAGAAAATGGGAGAGTGACTATTACTACATCAGGAGCAGTGGAAAACTCAAATGAAAAGTCAAGGTAACTCTCCAATATTAAAATAGTACTTGGTGTATAATTAATACATAGATAATAGGCGATACAGTCTGTTTGACCTCTGGGCTAGCAGGTAAGGCATAATCACTGGAAGCCAAATAAATATGAACACCTGAACACAGTATTTTGAATGTGGTGACCGAGGGTTGTCCCAAAAGCCTTGACAGATAATGAAGCTCTGAATAACTATGCTAGTATAATCCAAAATACCTGTGCATTTCAAATCAATGAATTTATGAAAACATAATGACTTTTTCAAAGCTTAAATTGCACAGTGCATGACTACTTCTCCTGTGACAAACTGGGAGATTTGTTTCAGCGTTCTGAGATTACTTCAACAGAAGCGTACCTATCCTAGCTAATATTGAACAAATGTGAGGTGTGGGTGAGTGTCTGTATTCCTTCCCTATGACTTGACAGAGAGCTTCACTAAACATTTACTAAAGGCATGTGCTGGTATGAACATTACTCATTACTTTGTTATGAGGAAATTCATGGTTAATGAAGATGGTGTGTCATGAACAGATGACCTGTCCATTTTACTCTTACTTGATCTCAGGTTCGTAATCCTCATAGCTGACAGGAAGAATACAAAGAAATGAAAAACAATAAAATCAATAACCAAACAAAACTCCATAGCAAATATTCAATAATAATAATATGATTTTGAATGACACAATGCTTATATATAGTTATAGGAGAGGGGGACTTCCACAGATACATAAACATAAAGACAAACAGGAAATATTAGTCAATTAAAATAAATGGCTCATCAAATAATTACATCCAATACTCTTGAAGCCAGAATCCTCTTAATCTCACTCACTCGAATTTTGCGAGTGAGTTACAGGTGCTAAACGTAATTATCTTATTCACAAGCGTCTCCACTCCTCAATAAAAACGGGAGGGCCTAGTGTTTTGCCTCAATCGGCTGTAAAAAAAACAACACAAAAAACAATGGGCCAGGTGCGATGGCAAGAATAAATGATTTATGAAATTATTGGGGCCGACCATTAAACATAATTTTCCCAGGTCTATCTTAATGACCTGTTGGGAGAGGCACTTCATCAAGCTGATTGCCCTCTCGATGGTCAGGTAGACACAACGAAGTTGAAAAAATGTTAAGAGGGAAATATTGACCTGGAACTGTAGATAGAGATTACATAATAGACGTATCAGGGAGGTCAGGATATGAAGAGGTTATTCCTTGATTTGTATCTGGTCGCCGTTGCTTTTCACTAAGAATTGAGGATGATAGTCATTTTCCCGTGAGGGCTATCTTGGAAAAATCTGGTTCAAGGTAGCAGATATCCTCAACAACCATAATTTCCTCCTGCTCTCACTCACTCACTCAATGTTCAAAATACTGTATGTACTGTTTATGAAGAATTTGGACAGGTATACATGTGTCATTTCAAAATGCCTGTCAAAAGTGCATAATATACTGAACAAAAATATCAATGCAACATGCAACAATTTCAAAGACTTTACTGAGTTACAGGTCATATGAAGAAATCAGTCACTTGAAATAAATTCATTAGGCCCTAATCTATGGATTTCACATGACTGGGAATACAGATATGCATCTGTTGGTCACAGATATCTTTTAAAAAATGGGCCTCTCAATGGGCCTCAGGATCTCATTGCGGTATTTTTGTGCATTCAAATCGATATCGATAAAATGCCTGCCCATACCATAACCACCATGGGCACTCTGTTCACAACGTTGACATCAGCAAACCGCTCACCCACACGACACCATACACATGGTCTGCGTTGTGAGGCCAGGTTGGTTGTACTGCCAAATTTTCTAAAACGAAGTTGGAGGCGTCTTATGGTAGAGAAATTAACATTTAATTATCTGGTAACAGCTCTGGTGGCCATTCTTGCAGTGACCATGCCAATTGCACGCTCCCTTAAAACTTGAGACATCTGTGGCATTGTGTTGTGTGACAAAACTGCACATTTTAGAGTGGCCTTTTATTGTCCCCAGCACAAGCTGCACCTGTGTAATGATCATGCTGTTCAATCAGTTCCTTGATATGCCACACCTGTCAGGTGGATGGATTATCTTGGCAAAGGAGAAAGGCTCACTAACAGGGATGTAAACAAATTTGTGCACCAAATTTGAGAGAAATAAGCTTTTTGTGCATATGGAACATTTCTGGGATCTTTTATTTCAGCTCATGAAACATGTGACCAAAACTTTACATGCTGCATTTATATTTTTGTTCAGTGCATATTCCTGCATTAGATTATTTTTGTAATTTTTTTTACTAAATTGAGAAACTCTCCTAATTAACCCCCTACCACTTTCAGTCCTACAGACCTGGGCCCATTTCCCAAACCTGAAGTAGCTCCTGCAGAGCCGGTGAATACCCTCGCAATGATGCCACTCGAGCATCACGCTGAATGGTTCCACCACCGCAAAAACAGCACTTGTGCGCTTTCACCGGAAAAACGAGGGGAAAGTGCTCATTGTGTTAATAGTCGGGTAGAAATATCTAAAATGAAAATAAATTGAGGAGCAAATTGTTCCAATCCAAAACAACCGCATTCAATTGGCACCAATTCTCTTTTTGAAAAGAGACAAATGAGCGAATTCTGAGAGGTGATACGCATTTCAAATGGCTCGAGATCATCGCGTTATAGCTCATTGCAATTGGTCTATTGAGTCGCCTTTCACATCAGCATAAAGTCTCATTGGCTAGCTGAAAGGAAATAGGAAATGCTGTTATCTACTCAGCAGGATGCTAATTGTTTAACTAAAGGTTTGTGTACAAAGAAATGTTAATGACAAACAATTGTATACTTCAGATATACATTTTGAGTATTTTTACGCAGGATTTTCAAATCAATCATACCATCTTCATTTGCATATTCCTTCAGGGTCTATTGTAGGGGGATTTCTCAATAAGTAGATACTTTATTCACCATGAGGCATATACAGTACACGTCTACTCACAGTGCTTTTTAACTGTCATTAAAGAGTTGTGTCATTAACAATTTTGAGTACACATTTCTCAGCACCTTGTGGACTGCAGTCATTAACGCTCAGCAATTTCCCAGATACAGGGTTCGACAAAGTTTAGTAAAAGTTTGAGTAAGAGAGGAAAACAACATCCAATTTGTGCCAAAGGAACAACAAAGGTAAATCTTACAGAGTACACATTCTTATGGGGTCAAATACAACAGGTTACGCCAATGCAGCACTTACATCACAAATCGGATGAGGAATTGCCACGGGAAAGAGTACTTTGTCTATTGGGAAAGGCAATGGGGACCAAACACAATACAGAGAGAGCCCTAATAGTGTAGTCCTCTGTAGAAACATGTTGCATCTTACCAGTGCCATTCCACAATAATAATTCCATCATAATAACGATAGCTACCATGAGGAAGAAAATATACAAAGACAAAAGATAAGAGGTTAAAAACAAAAACTCAATAAGACAAAGCATAGCATGCAGTGTTAATCAAAAGAAGATAAACTGAGTGAAAAGAAGTCAATGTGCAGAGAGAGAGAGAAAAAAAAATCATGGAACATTCATTTAAAAAAAAAAAGCAATGCGATGACATCTGAACATAAAGTGTGTCATCAAACGATGAAGAACACCAAAGATAAGAGAAAGATAAAAGAAACATCCTACTTAATTATGACCTAGCAGGAGTCCGGACCTAACCTAAAATATCTCCCTCAATCTTACAATCCAGTAGAATGTTTTCTTCAACATCAAAACTCTCACTGTATCGGACTAAAATACAAACCATTATTTTCATCATCAAACAATTTGATTATTAGTAGCAGGCTAAATTGTTAGCAGTAGCCTAAATTATTTAGAACTTGAAGATTTGAAACTGATACAGTCCATTCAAAGTAACCAACAGTGTGGCTCTAAAAATAGCAGTAGGCCTATTTGTTTTGTACCATATTTGTGTACCATATTTGTTTTCATTGCCATAGGTGCCATTTGGGACATAGCCATGTGGATTGAGATACTGTACATATATCTGGAGGTAGGCCTATCAGACGTCAGAGCTGGGAGAGAAGGGGTCATGACCTTTATGTTGTGGTCTGAGAGAAAGAGTTCAGAGGTGAGGTTCCTGATTGGCCAAGGGAGGCTAGTGTGATAAATCATATGATAGAGAGAACTCTCCACAGACAAATATATTCTCTCCACAGACAAACAAGGCAATGCATCTCAAAGAAACAATATCTTCACAGTATTCTTAGATTACATCTCAATTGATAAGGGGGAGTTCAAAAACTGTACTTACTACACTTTGAGATGTAAACACTGTGTTACTAATAACTGATCAAATCTTCCAATTATAAAACTATTAAACATTTTTAAAAAATGTGTGCTTACATTTCTCCATAGTTAACTTTAAAGCCACTCAGTTGGTGACTATCAACTCAATAACCTGTTCAAAGTCAGGTCGCAGTATCAAAAGTTGTTGTCAACAGTGTTAGCACTAACATGGATGGCAGAACATGGATGACACACACAATTAGGGCTGTTGTGGTGACCGTGTTACCACCACACCGGCAGTCATAAATCATGACCACAGTAAAATTCCATGTGACCGTTCAGTCACAGTAATCTCCTTTAATGCATTCTGGACATGCTTTGGTAGTACCCAACTTGCTAATGACCAACAGGTCCTAATGTTCTGGTACTCAGGGCTCTATTGTCAATCTAAACACTCTGACATCAATGAAATTGCGATCAAAACCGTAGCACTATCGTTCTTTTAAAACTCACCTCGCTGTGATGATCATTTTGAAGAAAGAAGTTCAACAGCAGGTTGAAACAGTGTAAAACATGGTTGTTGTGGATGTCGTTTCAAGTCCTAACGCAATTAAATGGACAGCCCTTTCTAAGGTGATGACTAATTCAAAACATCCACATATTAGAGCTTCTGCATATGTGTAGGCTTATGAGCCCAAGCCTGAAAAGAAATTCTGGATAAAAATTATGATTGTGCCGTTATACAATACAATACAGCCTACCGCATATTAGGCATGGCAAAAAAACATAAAACAAAACTGATTTAAGATGTCTTTGGTACATAATTGGTCTAGCCTATACTCCAAAATTAAACAAATTCTAGTAATTACCGTTGAGTATGGACTGTATTATTATGCATACTGGATGGACTAGTTACCTTATACTACGCTCCAAAATGTATATCTATGTGTCTGGGAGAGAATGTATAGCCCTAGGTGATGCTGTTGTTTCATTGATTGTGCAGGGCTGCTTACAGTTAGCCTACAATTAGTGAATTTGTATTTGATTTTGAATAGCCTAGTAAAAGGGCATTTTTTATATTTTCATAATTAATTGGGTGACACATTACCTTTAGCTACAGAATATCTCACCACTGCGCGTTTCCATCTCCTCCTCTCTCTCCTTTATTCCTTTCTCGAGCACGCAGAAAACATGTTACTGTCGATGTTCCTGAACAGATTTGATAATGGGCTATTTTAAAACTAAACCAATTTTACATATTAGACAAGATTAAATTGATGGGGAAAATATGATCACTTGATGAGAGAACAGCTGTGCAATCTGAGGCAAGGAACAGAGCGCAAGCCTTTTTTGCTACTTTCTCAAATCATCAATAGCCTATAGTCACACCATGCAGCCCATACACAGTGCATTCGGAAGGTATTCAGACCCCTTGACAGTTGTCTTTTTTTTATGTGATTTTTTTTCTAAAAATCTGTTTATGCTTTGTCATTATGGGGTATTGTGTGTAGATTGATGAGGGAAAACAAACTATTTAATCCATTTTACAATAATGCTGTAACGTAACAAAATGTGGAAAAAGTCAAGGGATTTTAATACTTTCCGAATGCACTGTATGTTTTGATGCTAAGACATTCTAAGGTTTGTATAATTTGTATTTGTATTTATTATGGATCCATACTACTCTTCCTGGGGTCCAGCAAAATGAAGGCAGTTATACATTTTAAAAACATTACAATACATTTATAACAGATTTCACAACATATTAAGTGTGTGCCCTCAGGCCTCTACTCTACTACCACATACTAAAGTTGCCAAATAATTCTAAATCTAGCATATAGGACCTGTTTCAAATGATCACTTTACGCTCAACATAGCCACTTCATATGCGCACTCGCTCTGTAATGGGAAAAATATAAATTATATTCTTCTTACTATAAAATCGGATAAAATAAAATAATGGCACAGGGCTTATAAGCATATCTTTTCAGCTAAATGAACTAGCCTACAGCATGAAGCATAGCCAGATACAGTAACTAACATACAGTATGCCAACTTATTCTGTTCTTCTGAAATACATGTTCTTCATATCATAATGTTTCTTTAGACCTGACTAAAATAAATAATGGATTTATTGCGATGGTGTATATTAAATTGATTTATTAGACTTTTTTAAATGAAGATGTTCCAAAGGCACGCATCAGCGACTTATATATGTAGCCTGTAGATGCTAACGTGTTTATGTTCATTAATAGTAAATTACCATGAGACCGGCAGTCTTTTGCATGACAACAACCGGCAGACAGAATGTCATGACCGCCACAGCCCTACTCACAATAAAACTAAAACAAGCTAAACTCATGGTCATCCTAGCTCTAATCAGAATCCACAGAGTCCGCAGTATGCACAGCCCATTATTACATATAATCACACATGATTTACAAACCTCATTTTAAATCGGTTGTTATTGAGTCACAGAATGCGCTGCTCTGGGCTTTGATCTCTGCCGCGCCAACAGTCTCAGACTGCTATCAATGCTATCCAATAGAGTGCTGCTGATACTGATACAGACTGTTCTGTCTAGTAGGGTGTTCTGCTCTCTATTCAGAATGAGATTCACAGAGCAGACATCCTCTGGAAAACTAGCCTCAGCACTGCTGGCAATGTGTGTGTGTGTATGTGTGTGTGTGCGTACGAGAGTAAGAAAGAGCGAAAGCGTGTATACTGTATGTGAGAAAGAGTGTGACTGTGTGTATAGTGTGTGTGTATACTCGCTGACAGAACAAGGCCAGCAGGGTCTCACTCCACTCTGACAGAAGCAGTGAAAGGTGGCTAGAGATCATGCCTAGCATTACAGCCATAAAACACACTGATGCTACTAGAGTGTCTTCAAACTGGCGGACAGGGAGAAAACAGAAGATCTTTATCCATCAGTAGGAAGTAGGAATGGTAGACAGAGGCAGAAAAACTACTTTAGCCCGGCCACAAAATAAGTCTACCCTGACACCTGGTTGGACTAACATCCCTAAGTGAACCACAAAAATGTTGTGTCAACGTCTTGGCTTCTTGGCTTATTCCTTTCAGCTCTTAGAGGCGCAATGGCCTCACGGTGTCATTGTGAACTAATGTAGTGTTCCAAGACACCACCAACTCCACCTTCTTCCGAATGACTATTTCATCACTTAACGAACAGATACACTACATGACCAAACGTATGTGGACACCTGCTTGTCGAACATCTCATTCCAAAATCATGGGCATTAATATGGAGTTGGTCCCCCATTTGCTGCTATAACAGCCTCCACTGTTCTGGGAAGGCTTTCCACTAGATGTTGGAACATTGCTGAGGGGACTTGCTTCCATACAGCCACCAGAACTAATTCTGTGTGGCCTACCACTTCACGGCTGAGCCGTTGTTGCTCCTAGACGTTTCCACTTCACAATAACAGCAATTTGAAGGGGTGTCCACATACTTTTGTATATCTAATGTACCACAATCATAGCTAGACATGAAATACAAAAATGATTCAAATTTAAATGAACGACCAAACCTTCAACATTCTATCCAATCTCACCATTGAGCCCGATTGTTATTGTGGTGATATCACAATAGGTGGTTAATTTGTTTTCACAAAGCACAGTGAGCATATTAAACACATTTATACTAATTAATTCATTGTCACTCATAAACTGCAATGCCAGTAAACTGTGGGCTTTATAATGTCATTCATAGTTCCATATCCTGAGTGGCAGGGTGCGCACGCACGGGCACGCACATGAGCACACACCCAGACGCACACACACACACACACATTTATGAATATTCATCCGTGTGTTAGCGGATGCCGACGGGCCAGGTTAATTCCACCAGATTGTCTCGTGGCCTTTTCCCTCGCCGACCAGTGTGCACTTCAGATAATGAAATACGCCTGCTGGAATACCTGTCCCATTTTAACCCTTGCCTCTCCTCCATGACACAACCTTTGGTGATAATGAGTTATGAACCTGGAGGGCTGCACTTCCTGCATCTCCGCATTGGCCATTCTCACCCTTCAGATTTGTTTGAGAGGTTCACAAATAAAACGGAAGAAGTTATTCTAAGCAGCGACACGTTATATAACAACATAGCTTCCATCTCAAAGTCTAGGTTTATTATGACGTACATAACATCAATTGTTCATTATCATTTGGTTGTTTTGGCAGATTTTATGCAAAAGTGACTTACAGTTAACATATGTTCAGTATATGTGGCCCATGCGGGGATCGAACCCACAACCCAAGGGGTGTATTCATCCCACTGATTCTGTTGCAAAATGGTTCCTAAACGGAAGCAAACGGAACGAAGCAGGGAGGGACCTATCTCAATATGTCCAATAGAAACTATTGTTTTAGTTTCAAAACGGAACGTTGAATCAACCCCTGTTGTTACCAGCACCATGCTCTAACACAGGGTTTCCCAGACTCGGTCCCCCCCTGGGTGCACATTTTCGTTTTTGCCCTAGGTCTACTACACAGCTGATTCAAATAACCAACTCAACATCAATCTTTGATGATTTGAATCAGCTGTGTAGTGCTAGGGGGGAAAACTAAACGTGCACCAAGGGGGGGCCCCAGGACAGAGTTTGGGAAACCCTGCTCTAACACACTGAGCCATCGGAACCTGGTCTGCCATACCAATGTACTAATTTCCACGTACTAGTGTCATGTCTGGAAGGTCTCAATGCCTGAAAGGACGAGTGACTTACTTGATGTTGTCGAGGCAACCCGAGTCGGGTTTGAGGATGGCGGTGTGGTGGAACATCTTGTACAGCGCGATGCCTAGGAATATTACGTTGAGCTGGGAGAGATGGATGAAAGAGAGGAGGTGGATGAAAGAAAGAAGAGAGCACAGCTGAAATGGAGTATGTGTGTTGTTGATGCTTTCATTCATTTTAAAAAATCGGGGGAGACATCGTTACAGTTAAGTTGAGTATGTAGTGTCGAAACAAAATGTGGTTTCCCACTTTGCCAAGTAGAGCACAAAATGATATGAAAATTGTATTACAGTATAACTACCACATATAGAAGTATAGTGCCATGTTGTACTTGACAATAAAGTTGAACTTGAACTAGTTGGGCCCTGATCAATGCAATGGCTGGAGTCTGTCCTAAATGAATTCACTAAACATGCAGTTAACCAGAGGAAGCAAACTAAATTTGGGACTGATATATTTACAACTGTTTGCAGTTCTCCAAACTGGACTTATCAGGACTGAAATAATGTCAAACAAAACAACACATATAGGTAGAAATACCATATGGAGCATCAGAATTCTTGCTGTTATAATTTCTTATGCCTCAAACATGAATCAGCTAAAATGTCATTGTGGACCAGCGGTAAAGATATCTCAAGATGGTATTGCCCCCAAAAAATTACACAAATTTGAAAGCTAACTCATACTACACTGTGCTGGGGAAGTAACATTCAGCTAATTGAGCCACCGTCTGAATCAGTTAGTCGGTTTCGCATGTTAAGCTCTCTCTTGACCATTTAAGCGGTGCCCTGAGGTGCTAAGTAAGGTTAATGAGATAGTATGCTAGTGGGGAAGTAGGGACGCTTACCATAATTATCAAGGTTGCCGGTCCTATGAAGCTCCAAATGAAGTAGGTGTCCAGTCGAAGCCAGCACCTGGAGGAGCGGAACAAGACATAAGAGAGAGAGGAAGAGAGAGAGAGAAAGGACGAGAGGAGAGAAAAGAGGGAGAGGGAGATGGAGAGAGAGAGAGACGCACAGGACATACATCAACATGGAGGCTGGAGTGACACCGAGAAATGAGCACTTCAAACACAGTGCCGCAAGGGAGTAGGTGAGTTATGACCGTTACATGAGGGTTTGGAGGGAGGATATGGGGGGTTTCAGTGTCATAACTTCTTATAGGCTGTGATGGTCACAACAGAGTCATCAAAGGACAGAGTTACAAAAATTTAATGTGGCTCCGGGGTGAAGTTTCCCCTAAGTAGCCTAGCAGTTAAGAGCGTTGGGCCAGTAACCGAAAGTTTACTGGTTCGAATCCCAGCGCCGACTAGGTGAAAAATCTGTCGATGTGCCCTTGAGAAAGGCACTTAACCCTAATTGCTCCTGTAAGTTGCTCTGGATAAGTGTCTGCTAAATGACTAAAATATATTTTAGATTTGTACCCAATCCTAACCTTAACCATTAGTGGAGAAAAAACTCAACTACCTCAGGATCAGCGTCAACTTCACCATACTTCTCTAATATGATCCTGTGTGCAGCTGGTATGTTCATTAGGTTAGAGGTTAATTCCATATCAGGAATAGAATAGTACCACAGAAATACAATTGATGCTTCGAAACGTTTGCACAGAAAATAATAGGCAATTCTGAACTTCTTAATTGAATTCCATCCCCTTAATTGAATTCGATCCCCAACTCAACCCCTGATTTGACTGACTTTAAATGGAATGGACCTCAACCATACACACACTAATACAATTTTCACACTATTGTGCCGACCCAAACCATACTTTGCTGGCTCAGATATATTTTCTTTTCACATTAAAGTGGATGTCTTACCAGGCCAGCTCAGTACAACTTGGCTCAGCTCGGCAGTGTGAAAAGTGCCATAGAGACTTAGATGAACTATCCAGCCTCATCATGTTAACCAATGAACCACCCTCACTCTGACATTACCATATTAACTATGCAACACCGTGTGCTTGCTTGACTTCTCCATGGCAGTTACTGTACGCTAGTTGGTTGATCGAAAGCTACGGGTCCAGATATGAGACAGCATGGGAGCAGATATGGGATGAAGGTGATACTGGGAAGTCGAATGACAAAAATGAAGTTGATTCATGACATTCCGGCTAAATTATTAATAGTTTAATCTCCGCCGCTGCTAGATAGACCTCCATTTTTGGCCATCGGAAATTACAGTTTCCTACTCTGTTGTCATTTGGATGACAAAGAGGCAAAATGGAAGAGGCAGCGAATTAGCCGTAATTCAATAACATTTTAAGGCAGATTGATGTGTGAAGAGGAATGCGCACTTAGCTTCGGACAGCACAGGCCATACTCGAACACTGGGAGGAAACCCGACAATGCAACTCAATATTTAATTTTAACTTGTCACCTCATATCCCGGACTACGATAGTGAGTGTTCAAAAAGACATTAAGTCCTGAAAAGAGATTAATTTTTCTTACATTCATTTCATGAACATTTTCACACAGGATGGCCCTAATGGAATTTTTCCCAGCGTTTCAACTGTATAAAGTGTTGGTAGTGTTATTTGACTTGCAGTGAAAAGCTCAAAAGCCTTGGCCGAGTTTTTGCTAATACTTCACACACCAACATTCTCTAGCACAGACCGATGCTTTGATAAAAGTCAAAGAATATAGCCAGAATATACAGAGACAGAAAACAATGCATGCATCCCAAATGGCACCCTATGAGCCCTATGGGTCCTGGTCAAAAGCAGTGCACTATATAGGGAATATAGCTCTTATCAAGAGATAAGAGATGCTGTAAACACACACACACACACACACACACACAACCATCAAATGTTTCCTAAGTAGTCATTATAAATTCTGCTGAAAGCGCAATTATTTTTGTATTTTGTCAGATCACAGAAAAGCAGATTTATTTAAAAGGCAATGGCTGTCATTTCTGGTGAGTGCGTGAGCCAGCAAGCCTCTCTGCCTCCTCTCCTCTCCAGTCATGTCAGAGTTCTGTTTTGCCTTTTGAGCCTATCTATTTTTGCTTGTGTCGTTCTGACGCTGCATTGGTGGCAACCTCCTCAGAATCCTTTTGGAATAGAAACCCGGGTCCTCTGATCCCCGCTAAGACAGTGTAGCGTTTTCTCTCCCAACGTCTAGTGTTGGGTATTCATGTCGGTGACACTGATTCACAGCAACTTGACACATTAGTTTAGCTCAAAGAGACACTTTGGAGAGAGGGGAGAGAAACGCGCTACCGAGACGAGATAACTTTAAGAGACTTTAAGTCACGCATGAGGACTTCTCTCTCATGAAGGGCTCCAGGTACGCCAAGGTGTCTACATGCAGTTTGTCTGTTGCAAAATGGAGAGAGAGAGGCCCTTAAAGATTTAAACTGTCATTATTAATGTCAGATAAATGATCAAGTAAAGGATTTATGGTGAAATGTGAGCTTTGTGCCTTTTTGGTAAGGCATTATTGCAATGTCATTTGTGAATATGAAGTGAGTTCATCTTCTTATGGTATATCATTTACAGTAGAATAGTAAAAACCCAAACCTTGTGCTGTTTTATGAATAAATGCACTTTCCATACACAGATATTGTCTATAGCAACGAACACAATCTAACAATATAGTCAAAGAACACACTGGCAATGAATGTTGAGTATCCTAGATTGTTCATTTAGATTTTCAGTAAACAGTTGATGATAACGGATTGTGGAATCAATTGGAACAAAAGCCAGCATTCAAGTAGCTACTCAAGAAACAGAAACACATACTTATAACACATCTATTGTTCTGTGTAAACTCCTGACCAAAATAACCCCCAGAACAGCCTAAATGGGACTACACAAAGCAATGCGTTCTCATTAACTTGAGAACTCCCGAGTGGCGCAGCGGTCTAAGGCACTGCATCTCAGCGCTAGAGGCGTCACTACATACCCTGGTTCGTTTCCAGGCTGTATCACAACCGGCCGTGATTGGGAGTCCCATAGGGCGGCACACAATTGGCCCAGCATCGTCCGGGTTAGGGTTTGGCCGGGGTAGGCCGTCATTGTAAAATCTAAATGGCCATTTATAATTTTATTCAGGCGGAATATGGAGCGGTGCGACACTCAAACCCCTCCCCCACCTAGCTGAGCATGTCACGCCCTGTCCCTTCCCCAATCCCTCACGGCTGCATGTAATTGGTCCACCAGTGGCTCGGCTTTAATTATTCACATGATGCTGTGTCGGCAGGCAGTGGCAGCTATCGCCTCTATCCATCACCAATAACTATGGCTCCTGCAACCTGCAAATGCACTGTCTAATATTTGTGGTGTGTGTGTACCTGGTGTATGTGTGTGTGTGTATGTGGTGTGTATGTGTATGATGAACATCTCATGAGCAAACTGCTTATGCTGGTTCATATTATTTTTAGATTGGCTACAGATTTAGTGAAAGAGGAACGGTGTCACTGTGTTATTGTTAGGAAGGCTGGTTTATAAATCAAATAATTTCTTGAGTATCTTCTGCAGGGAAACATAAGAACCTATGAAGACTACGGTCTCGCCGTCTCCATTTCTCGCTCCGTCTCCATCTAGCGCTTTCTTTCCTCTCTCCATCTATTGCTCCCTCAGTCAATTGGAAGTTATGTGAATGCTAAAGACGCTAACCACAATGGCTTGACATTCACACGGCTAAGGCTAGCGTTTGAGCTTGCATTTTCCACTGTTAAACATTTTGTCAAGTCAGCAGAAGTTCTGTTTTAGAATAACCGCTCAGGTCCATTAAGGAGTGATGAGGAGCATTAGTTATTGCAGCAACGCCAAATATATATCTTTAAAGGCTAACGATGACCACAAACTGTTTTTATTCAATAAAATGAGTCAGCCGAATCAGTGTGGCTGTGTGAATATGATAATTAAACTGACTAACTAAATGTGCAAATCAAATGTAGTGTTATGACAGGAGTTTTCCTTGTCTAGGTGACGTGATGAGGAACAACTCTGTGCCCTTGTTATAGTCTACAAGATGTTTATATTTCAGGTCACATGTTCAGGAAACCCCCTATCATGGTATCATCTGGGTCCGTATTCATAGTGTCTCAGAGTAGGAGTGCTGATCAACCAAATGTATTTATAAAGTATTTTTACATCAGCAGATCTCACAAAGTGCTTATACAGAAACCCATCCTAAAACCCCAAAGAGAAAGCAACGCAGATGTAGAAGGGGGGGAGTCCTGATCCTACATCAGCACTCCTACTCTGAGACATTATGAATACAGGCCCTACTCTAAAACTGAAGAAGAACTTCCAAAAAACCAAACAGAATGGCACAGCAGAATGGCACTATGTCTCAACAGCCGTTAAACAAACAAACACCCAGAACAGCCATACTGAACACATCACAACCATATTGAATAGTTCAGATATGGCCAACAGCCTGGCATTGTGTATCATAAGATGGTGCTGGTCGTACGGATGATGACTTCTTTGAACAAGCAATTTTTTTATTTTTTTTTGAATACAATAAGTTAAGATGTTATTATAATATATGCCATTTAGCAGACACTTTGACTGATTTCTTATATGGGTGGCGCCAGCAGGAATCGAACCCACAATCCTTGGCATTGCAAGAGCCATGCTCTACCAACTGAGCCACACAGGACCATATGGGCTATGCAATCAGCAGCCTTGTCTCCAAGTAAGAGCTTGTCTAGAAGTGTTTCCCAAACTGGTCCTAAGGACCCCCTGTCGTTTCACATATTTGTTCAATTAGAATCCAAGCACACCAGATTCGACAAATCAAGGGCTTGCTGATTGGTTGACATTTGAATCAGGTGTGCCAGTACTGGACAATATAAAATAGAGGAACACACGGTGCTTGCGTAGAGGTTTGAGTAACACTGCTTTAGAATCTAGACCTTAGAAGTGAATGGGTTAATGGAGGGCATGACATGGTTCTAACGACAGGGTTGCTACAGCGAGCTTCTAACGATGGGGTACTCACACTCGATCCGTGCCGTAGCTCCGGTAGTCCACGGCGGCCGACACAGCCACAATGAGCGCGGGCACGCCGTAGCCCACCAGGTAAAAGTAGCGTTTGCGCGAGTGCTCGCTCTCAAACACCTCCACCAGCATAATGTAGAGCTGCACGCCCTCCAGGAACATCCAGGTGAAGGCAGCCAGGAAGAAGAAGTGGAGCAGGGCGGCAAACACAGCACAGGCAATCTGAGGAGGGGAGGGGAGACAGTACAGGTCACAGATCAATGTGTTTGGCTTAAAGACTGACAGAATACGTGTCGATGTGCAGAAAAAAATCCAAGAACAATATGGAGGACAGGTGTTACTCTCTCATGATTATATTCATATTGTTAAAACATTTCCTTGAATTTTATTTTCTATTATTAAAAAGCCCTTTAGTGCCGAAATGTCAGTCTCATGCATTTGACAAGGTAATAGAACATAGATAAACAAGGACAGGATAGCCAACACTGCGCATGCACACACACACACACACACACACACACACACACACACACACACACACACACACACACACACACACAGTGTACTTGCAACGACTGTAATTGATCAGATTATTGGAGCAATTGGTCACACGCGAGGTACTTTGTTGAACGGTCATTGAAATTGGTTTCAATTAAATTACTTTCAGGTTCAGTGGCCATCACTGCAATAAGGAGAGAGTGATCTTTAAATTGCCCAGTGAATCAAGACCATCACATCTTATGATAGGGAAGAGTAGAGGGCAAAAGCACATTCTGAAAACGTTCATCTGTTGAGTACGGTCCACATTCATGAGAGCAGGTGTGTGTGTGTATTTCTGTGCCTGTCAATGTACTAATTGTGGAACATACTTTCCATTGCATCCCTCACACACACACACACACACACACTTTCACTCCTCTAACTCCTCTCACCCCCCTCCCTACTGCACCCTGTTGATAATGACGGTGCCCTGAGTGCAGAGCTCTACCAGGTACATACTACAGCTCAGCTCTTTACAACCCAGCGGCAGCCATTAAAAACAGTGGGGGGGCATATTGATCGCCTAATCCAGATTATCCGCAGCGTTTAGAGATCAGTCTACTGCTCTACATCGTGACGGGAGGTTTAGTGCAGAGGCAGGTAGTGGAAAGGGGGGAAAGGGAGTGGGTGAGGGGGAGCGTGTTGTGTGTGTGTGTGTGGTCATTTGATAGAAACATAGGAGCTTGAGCTGTGTCAGGTGAAGTAACAGGGTGGAACTGGGAGAACCAGGGGGACTGGGGGGAACTTGCTGAAGGAATATTTGTGAGAGATGCTGAGAAAACACTAGAAGAGAGCAAAGTCAGTGTTGGCTATAGGTATCCCATGGTGTTAACTATCATTGTGTTTGTGTGTATATATATATATATATATATATATATATATATATATATATATATATATATATGACACACACACACACAGACAAATATACAGTGCATTCGGAAACTATTACAGCCTCGAGTCTTCTTGGGTATGACGCTACAAGCTTGGCACACCTGTATTTGGGGAGTTTCTCCCATTCTTCTCTGCAGATCCTCTCAAGCGCTGTCAGGTTGGATGGGGAGCGTCGCTGCACAGACATTTTCAGGTCTCTCCAGAGATGTTCAATCATGTTTAATTCCGGGCTCTGGCTGGGCCACTCACGGACATTCAGAGACTTGTCCCGAAGCCAATCCTGCATTGTCTTGGCTGTGTGCTTAGGGTCGTTGTCCTGTTGGAAGGTGAACCTTCACCCCAGTCTGAGGTCCTGAGAGCTCTAGAGCAGGTTTTCATCAAGGATCTCTATGTACATTGCTCCGTTCATCTTTCCCTCGATCCTGACTAGTCTCCCAGTCCCTGCCACTGAAAAACATCCCCTCAGCATGATGCTGCCACCACCATGCTTCACCGTAGGGATGGTGACAGGTTTCCTCTAGAAGTGACGCTTGGCATTCAGGCCAAAGACTTCAATCTTGGTTTCATCAGACCAGAGAATCTTGTTTCTCATGGTCTGAGAGTCTTTAGGTGCCTTTTGACAAACTCCAAGCGGTATTTCATGTGCCTTTTACTGAGGAGTGGCTTCCGTCTGGCCACTCTACCATAAAGGCCTGATTGGTGGAGTGCTGCAGAGATGGTTGTCCTTCTGGAAGGTTCTCCCATCTCCACAGAGGAACTCTGGAGCTCTGTCAGAGTGACCATCGGGTTCTTGGTCACCTCCCTGACCAAGGCCCTTCTCCCCCAATTGCTCAGTTTGGTAGGGCGGCCAGCTCTAGGAAGAGTCTTGGTGGTTCCAAACTTTTCCATTTAAGAATGATGGAGGCCACTGTTTTCTTGGGGACCTTCAATGCTGCAGAAATGTTTTGGCACCCTTCCCAAGGTCTGTGCCTCGACACAATCCTGTCTCGGAGCTCTACGGACAATTCCTTCGACCTCATGGCTTGGTTTTTGCTCTGACATGCACTGTCAACAGTGAGACTTATATAGACAGGTGTGTGCTTTCCAAATCATGTCCAATCAATTGAATATACCACAGGTGGACTCCAATCAAGTTGTAGAAACATCTCAAGGATGATCAATGGAAACAGGATGCATCTGAGCTCAATTTTGAGTCTCATAGCAAAGGTTCTGAATACTTATGTAAATAAGGTATGTCTGCTTTTTTTTTTATAGATTTGCTACAATTTCTAAAAACCTGTTTTTGCTTTGTCATTACGGAGTATTGTGTGTAGATTGATGAGGATTATTATTATTTTTAATCCATTTTAGAATAAGGCTGTAAAATAACAAAATGTGGAAAAAGTAAAGGGGTCTGAATACTTTCCGAATACAGTACCAGTCAAAAGTTTGGACACACCTACTCATTCCAGGGTATTTCTTAAATTTTATTATTTTCTACATTGTAGAATAATAGTGAAAACATCAAAACTATGAAATAACACATATGGAATCATGTAGTAACCAAAAAAGTGTTAAACAAATCAAAATATATTTTATATTTGAGATTCTTCAAATAGCCACCCTTTTCCTTTATGACAGCTTTGCACACTTATGACATTCTCTCAACCAGCTTCATGAGGTAATCACTTGGAATGCATTAAAATTAACAGGTGTGCCTTCTTAAAAAATAATTTGTGGAATTTATTTCCTTCTTAATGCATTTGAGCCAATCAGTTGTGTTGTGACAAGGTAGGGGCGGTATACCGAAGATAGCCCTATTTGGTAAAAGACCAAGTCCATATTATGGCAAGAACAGCTCAAATAAGCAACGAGAAACGACAGTACATCATTACTTTATGACATGAAGGTCAATCAATAAGGAACATGTCAAGAACTTTGAAAGATTCTTCAAGTGCAGTCGCAAAAACCATCAAGCACTATGATGAAACTGGCTCTCATGAGGACCGCCACAGGAATGGAAGACCCAGAGTTACCTCTGCTGCAGAGGATAAGTTCATTAGAGTTACCAGCCTCAGAAATTGCAGCCCAAATAAATGCTTCACAGAGTTCAAGTAACAGACACATCTCAACATCAACTGTTCAGAGGGGACTGTGTGAATCAGGCCTTCATGGTCGAATTGCTGCAAATAAACCACTACTAAAGGACACCAATAAGAAGAAGAGAACTGCTTGGGCCAAGAAACACGAGCAATGGACATTAGACCGGTGGAAAGGTGTCCTTTGGTCTCGAGTCCAAATTTCAGATTTTCGGTTCCAACCGCCGTGTCTTTGTGAGACGTGGTGTGGGTGAACTGATGATCTCTGCATGTGTAGTTCCCACCGTAAAGCATGGAGGAGGAGGTGTTATGGTGTGGGGGTGCTTTGCTGGTGACACTGTCTGTGATTTATTTAGAATTCAAGGCACACTTAACCAGCATGGCAACCACAGCATTCCTCAGCGAAATGCCATCCGATCTGGTTTGGGCTTATTGGGACTATAATTTGTTTTCAACAAGACAATGACCCAACACACCTCCAGTTTAAGGGCTATTTTACCAAGAAGGAGAGTGATGGAGTGCTGCATCAGATGACCTGGTCTCAACAATTCCCCGACCTCAACCCAATTGAGATGGTTTGGGATGAGTTGAACCGCAGAGTGAAGAAGAATCAGCCAACAAGTGCTCAGCATATGTGGGAACACCTTCAAGACGGTTGGAAAAGCATTCCAGGTGAAGCTGGTTGAGAGAATTACAAGAGTGTGCACAGCTGTCATCAAGGCAAAGGGTGGCTATTTGAAGAACCTCAAATATAAAATATATTTTGAATTGTTTAACACTTTTTTGGTTACTACATGATTCCCTATGTGTTATTTCATAGTTTTGATGTCTTCACTATTATTTTACAATGTAGAACATAGTAAAAATAAAGAAAACCCTTGAATGAGTAGGTGTTCTAAAACTTTTGACCGATAGTGTGTGTATACAGTGGGGAGAACAAGTATTTGATACACTGCCGATTTTGCAGGTTTTCCTACTTACAAAGCATGTAGAGGTCTGTACTTTTTATCATAGGTACACTTCAACTGTGAGAGACGGAATCTAAAACAAAAATCACATTGTATGATTTTTAAGTAATTAATTTGCATTTTATTGCATGACATAAGTATTTGATACATCAGAAAAGCAGAACTTAATATTTGGTACAGAATCCTTTGTTTGCAATTACAGAGATCATACGTTTCTTGTAGGTCTTGACCAGGTTTGCACACACTGCAGCAGGGATTTTGGCCCACTCCTCCATACAGACCTTCTCTAGATCCTTCAGGTATCGGGGCTGTCGCTGGGCAATACGGACTTTCAGCTCCCTCCAAAGATTTTCTATTGGGTTCAGGTCTGGAGACTGGCTAGGCCACTCCAGGACCTTGAGATGCTTCTTACGGAGCCACTCCTTAGTTGCCCTGGCTGTGTGTTTTGGGTCGTTGTCATGCTGGAAGACCCAGCCACAACCCATCTTCAATGCTCTTACTGAGGGAAGGAGGTTGTTGGCCAAGATCTCGTGATATATGGCCCCATCCATCCTCCCTTCAATACGGTGCAGTCGTCCTGTCCCCTTTGCAGAAAAGCATCTCCAAAGAATGATGTTTCCACCTCCATGCTTCACGGTTGGGATGGTGTTCTTGGGGTTGTACTCATGCTTCTTCTTCCTCCAAACACAGCGAGTGGAGGTTAGACCAAAAAGCTCTATATTTGTCTCATCAGACCACATGACCTTCTCCCATTCCTCCTCTGGATCATCCAGATGGTCATTGGCAAACTTCAGACGGGCCTGGACATGCGCTGGCTTGAGCAGGAGGACCTTGCGTGCGCTGCAGGATTTTAATCCATGACGGCGTAGTGTGTTACTGATGGTTTTCTTTGAGACTGTGGTCCCAGCTCTCTTCAGGTCATTGACCAGGTCCTGCCGTGTAGTTCTGGGCTGATCCCTCACCTTCCTCATGATCATTGATGCCCCACGAGGTGAGATCTTGCATGGAGCCCCAGACCGAGGGTGATTGACCGTCATCTTGAACTTCTTCCATTTTCTAATAATTGCGCCAACAGTTGTTGCCTTCTTATCAAGCTGCTTGCCTATTGTCCTGTAGCCCATCCCAGCCTTGTGCAGGTCTACAATTTTATCCCTGATGTCCTTACACAGCTCTCTGGTCTTGGCTGTTGTGGAGCAGTTGGAGTCTGTTTGATTGAGTGTGTGGACAGGTGTCTTTTATACAGGTAACAAGTTCAAACAGGTGCAGTTAATACAGGTAATGAGTGGAGAACAGGAGGGCTTCTTAAAGAAAAACTAACAGGTCTGTGAGAGCCGGAATTCTTACTGGTTGGTAGGTGATCAAATACTTATGTCATGCAATAAAATGCAAATTAATTACTTAAAAATCATACAATGTGATTTTCTGGATTTTTGTTTTAGATTCCGTCTCTCACAGTTGAAGTGTACCTATGATAAAATTACAGACCTCTACATGCTTTGTAAGTAGGAAAACCTGCAAAATTGGCAGTGTATCAAATAGTTGTTCTCCCCACTGTATGTATATATATATATATATATATATATATATATATATATATATATATATATATATATATATATATATATATATATATATATATATATATATATATAAACTCAGCAAAAAAAGGACCACATGTAACAACACCTGCACAGGATCGGTACTTCCGAACATCACATCTGCGGGACAGGTACAGGACGGCAACAACAACTGCCCGAGTTACACCAGGAACGCACAATCCCTCCATCAGTGCTCAGACTGTCTGCAGTAGACTGAGAGAGGCTGGACTGAGGGCTTGTAGGCCTGTTGTAAGGCAGGTCCTCAACAGACATCACCGGCAACAACGTCGCCTATGGGCACAAACCCACCGTCGCTGGACCAGACAGGACTGACAAAAAGTGCTCTTCACTGACGAGTCGCGGTTTTGTCTCACCAGGGGTGATGTTCGGGTTCCCGTTTATCGTCGAAGGAATAAGTGTTACACCGAGGCCTGTACTCTGGAGCGGGATCGATTTGGAGGTGGAGGGTCAGTCATGGTCTAGGGCGTTGTGTCACAGTATCATCGGACTGAGCTTGTTGTCATTGCAGGCAATTTCAACTCTGTGCGTTACAGGGAAGACATCCTCCTCCCTCATGTGGTACCTTTCCTGCAGGCTCATCCTGACATGACCCTCCAGCATGACAATGCCACCAGCCATACTGCTCGTTCTGTGCGTGATTTCCTACAAGACAGGAATGTCAATGTTCTGCCATGACCAGCGAAGAGCACAAATCTCAAACCCATTGAGCACGTCTGGGACCTGTTGGATCGGAGGGTGAGGCCTAAGGCCATTCCCCCCAAAGATGTCTGGGAACTTGCAGGTGCTTTGGTGGAAGAGTGGAGTAACATCGCACAGCAAGAACTGGCAAATCTGGTGCAGTCCATGAGGAGGAGATGCAATGCAGTACTTAACGTAGCTGGGGGCCACACCAGATACTGACTGTTACTTTTGATTTTGACCCCCTTCTTTGTTCAGGGACACATTATTCCATTTATGTTAGCCACATGTCTGTGTAACTTGTTCAGTTCATGTCTCAGTTGTTGAATCTTGTTATGTTCATACAAATATTTACACATGTTAAGTTTGCTGAAAATAAACGCAGTTGACAGTGAGAGGACGTTTTTTTTTTTGCTGAGTTTATACACAGTTGAAGTCGGAAGTTTACATACACTTAGGTTGGAGTCATTAAAACTCGTTTTTCAACCACTCCACAAATTTCTTGTTAACAAACTATAGTTTTGGCAAGTCGGTTAGGACATCTACTTTGTGCATGATACAAGTAATCTTTCCAGCAATTGTTTACAGACAGATTATTTCACATATAATTCACTGTATCACAATTCCAGTATGTCAGAAGTTTCCTAAGTTGACTGTGCCTTTAAACAGCTTGGACAATTCCAGAAAATGATGTCATGGCTTTAGAAGCTTCTGATAGGCTAATTGACATCATTTGAGTCAATTAGAGGTGTACCTGTGGATGTATTTCAAGGCCTACCTTCAAACTCAGTGCCTCTTTGCTTGACATCATGGGGAAATCAAAAGAAATCAGCCAAGACCTCAGAAAAAGAATTGTAGACCTCCACAAGTCTGGTTAATCCTTGGGAGGACCAAACTTCTGAAGGCACCACGTTCATATGTACAAACAATAGTACGCAAGTATAAACACCATGGGACCACGCAACCAAACTTCTGAAGGCACCACGTTCATCTGTACAAACAATAGTACGCAAGTATAAACACCATGGGACCACGCAGTCATCATACCGCTTCTGTCTCCTAGAAATGAACGTACTTTGGTGCGAAAAGTGCAAATCAATCCCAGAACAACAGCAAAGGACCTTGTGAAGATGCTGGAGGAAACAGGTACAAAAGTATCTATATCCATAGTAAAACAAGTCCTATATCGACATAACCTGAAAGGCCGCTCAGCAAGGAAGAAGCCACTGCTCCAAAACCGCCATAAAAAAGCCAGACTACGGTTTGCAACTGCACATGGGGACAAAGATCTTACTTTTTGGAGAAGTGTCCTCTGGTCTGATGAAACAAAAATAAAACTGTTTGGCCATAATGGCCCATAATTGGCCCTCATCGTTATGTTTTGAGGAAAAAGGGAGTTCTTGCAAGCCAAAGAACACCATACCAACCGTGAAGCACAGGGGTAGCAGCATCATGCTGTGGGGGTGCTTTGCTGCAGGAGGGACTGGTGCACTTCACAGAATAGATGGCGTCATGAGGAAGGAAAATTATATGGATATATTGAAGCAACATCTCAAGACATCAGTCAGGAAGTTAAAGCTTGGTCGCAAATGGGTCTTCTAAATGGACAATGACCCCAAGCATACTTCCAAAGTTGTGGCAAAATGGCTTAAGGACAACAAAGTCAAGGTATTGGAGTGGCCATCACAAAGCCCTGACCTCAATCCTATAGAACATTTGTGGGCAGAACTGAAAAGGCGTGTGCGAGCAAGGAGGCCTACAAACCTGACTCCGTTACACCAGCTCTGTCAGGATGAATGGGCCAAAATTCACCCAACTTATTGTGGGAAGCTTGTGGAAGTCTACCCGAAACGTTTGACCCAAGTTAAACAATTTAAAGGCAATGCTACCAAATACTAATTGAGTGTATGTACACTTTTGACTCACTGGGAATGTGATGAAATAAATAAAAGCTGAAATAAATCATTCTCTCTACTATTATTCTGACATTTCACATTCTTAAAATAAAGTGGTGATCCTAACTGACCTAAAACAGGGAATTTTTACTAGGATTAAATGTCAGGAATTGTGAAAAACTTAGTTTAAATGTATTTGGCTAAGGTGTATGTAAACTTCCGACTTCAACTGTATACATTTATTTATTTTTTTAAACGTAAATGAAAGGTGTTTGTGCCACCTACGCTGAGCACCTTCTATAGTTCTCTCCTTCATACACGTGATTAATTAATATCAATACATTCTATACATTATTTAATTGATAATGCCAGAGAAGCCGGTGTTTGGAGGATATATTGGCACGGGTGTTGTTGTATACAACAGGTAACCAACATATTCAAATAATGACTTACATATTTGAATTAGAAAATGTATTTTGATGAATTTATTCATACTATTTCATCCTTCCACAAGATATAGTCCCGATACAAATCTAGGGTTGCTACCCAAGCCAGCTGGTCGTTCGTTCTATCGGTTCGGTGACCAGTCATTCAGTCTTTTTGTTCTGTATCTATGGTAGTTCGTTCTAAATGTTCCATTGCCATACTGGCTGGCAACATTCTTATCCCTTGCTTGCTAGCTAGCCAACTACGGCTAACTTACCGTCATGTCAAACAGTGCAGCCAGAATAACAACAGTAGCTGCATTTGCATTTGCTTAAGCTGTTTTCTAGTGACATTTATGTGGATACGTTCATAACAATGAGCAAATGATGCATGCTTTCAGCTGGCATAGAAAATGTGCTCTCGCGTCACGACACTGTTGTTCAGAGGAGCTAGCCAACAACACGGCAAGACGGAGCTGCTCTTCCTCCCGGGGAAGGACTGCCCGTTCCATGATCTCGCCATCACGGTTGACAACTCCGCTGTGTCCTCCTCCCAGAGTGCGAAGAGCCTAGGCGTGACCCTGGACAACACCCTGTCGTTCTCCGCCAACATCAAGGCGGTGACCCGCTCCTGCAGGTTCATGCTCTACAACATTCGGAGAGTGCGACCCTGCCTTACACAGGAAGCGGCGCAGGTCCTGGTCCAGGCACTTGTCATCTCCCGTCTGGACTACTGCAACTCGCTGTTGGCTGGGCTCCCTGCCTGTGCCATTAAACCCCTACAACTCATCCAGAATGCCGCAGCCCGTCTGGTGTTCAACCTTCCCAAGTTCTCTCACGTCACCCCCCTCCTCCGCACACTCCACTGGCTTCCAGTTGAAGCTCGCATCCGCTACAAGACCATGGTGCTTGCCTATGGAGCAGTGAGGGGAACGGCACCTCTGTACCTTCAGGGTCTGATCAGTCCCTACACCCAAACGAGGACATTGCGTTCATCCACCTCTGGCCTGCTGGCTCCCCTTCCTCTGCGGAAGCACAGCTCCCGCTCAGCCCAGTCAAAACTGTTCGCTGCTCTGGCACCCCAATGGTGGAACAAGCTCCCTCACGACGCCAGGACAGCGGAGTCACTCACCACCTTCCGGAGACATTTGAAACCCCACCTCTTTAAGGAATACCTGGGATAGGATAAAGTATTCCTTCTAACCCCCCCCCCCCCCCCCAAATTGTAAAGTGGTTATCCCACTGGCTATAGGGTGAACGCACCAATTTGTGAGTCGCTCTGGCTAAGAGCGTCTGCTAAATGACGTTAATGTGCCCTTGAGCAAGGCACTTAACCCTAATTGCTCCTGTAAGTCGCTCTGGTTAAGAGCGTCTGCTAAATGACTAAAATGTAAATGTAAATGTAACACAGATAACACAATAATGTCAAAATGAAGCTGGAAAGATTGCAAACCAGCTACACTTCGTTTCGTTTTACCTGTTTTCTTTCGACATTTTTGTATATATCCATAAAATGATGCTGATTCATGATTGACTGGCTGTCTCATCCCGACCCTTACACGTTCATTACTATGGGATAGCTGGAGATCGAATTTCAATACTGAAACAATGTTGCAAATGTTAAGGTTTATACAGATCTCTGCTATTGAAAACCAATTGCTATTCTAAAAGATATGGGAGATGATGTCTAAATGCTTTTTAGAGTGGATATCAAGTTTATAAATTGTCTGGTTGGGCTGATGAGACAGTTGATTGCGCAGTGAGATGGAACAGAGTAAACAGGCATTTTAATGTCATAGCTTCAGCCGGTGGTAACTTGTGGAATAGACACCGGCTGGAATGCGGTTTTAACCAATGAGCATTCAGGATTAGACCCACCCGTTCTATAAATTCCAAAAACAAGTTGAGGAACCTTTACTGTGCTACTCATAACCATTGCTACATACAGCTTCAAAACAGAACACTTTCAAATCTATAGCATAATCTATGTTCTCATGTTCACTTGAGGTGTCCAAATTAGAACAGACTAAGGGCCGCCCCCAGGTGGTAAGGGTAGGTAACAACACATCTGCCACACTGATCCTCAACACGGGGGCCCCTCAGGGGTGCGTGCTCAGTCCCCTCCTGTACTCTCTGTTCACCCATGACTGCATGGCCAGGCACGACTCCAACACCATCATTAAGTTTGCCGACGACACAACAGTGGTAGGCCTGATCACCGACAACGATGAGACAGCCTATAGGGAGGAGGTCAGAGATCTGGCCGTGTGGTGCCAGGACAACAACCTCTCCCTCAACGTGACCAAGACAAAGGAGATGATTGTGGACTACAGGAAAAAAAAGAGGACTGAGCACGCCCCCATTCTCATCGACGGGGCTGTAGTGGAACAGGTTGAGAGCTTCAAGTTCCTTGGTGTCCACATCACCAACGAACTATCATGGTCCAAACACACCAAGACAGTCGTGAAGAGGGCACGACAAAGCCTATTCCCCCTCAGGAGACTAAAAAGATTTGGCATGGGTCCTCAGATCCTCAAAAAATTCTACAGCTGCACCATCGAGAGCATCCTGACTGGTTGCATCACCGCCTGGTATGGCAACTGCTTGGCCTCCGACCGCAAGGCACTACAGAGGGTAGTGCGTACGGCCCAGTACATCACTGGGGCAAAGCTTCCTGCCATTCAGGACCTCTATACCAGGCGGTGTCAGAGGAAGGCCCTCAAAATTGTCAAAGACTCCAGCCACCCTAGTCATAGACTGTTCTCTCTGCTACCGCACGGCAAGCGGTACCGGAGTGCCAAGTCTAGGTCCAAAAGACTTCTCAACAGCTTCTACCCCCAAGCCATAAGACTCCTGAACAGCTAATCATGGCTACCCGGACTATTTGCACTGCCCCCCCCCACCCCATCCTTTTTACGCTGCTGCTACTCTGTTAAGTATTTATGCATAGTCACTTTAACTCTACCCACATGTACATATTACCTCAACTACCTCAACTAGCCAGTGCCCCCGCACATTGACTCTGCAACGGTACCCCCCTGTATATAAAGCCTCCCTACTGTCACTTTATTTTACTTCTGCTCTTTTTTTCTCAACACTTTTTTTTGTTGTTGTTTTATTCTTACTTTTTTTGTTTAAAATAAATGCACTGTTGGTTAAGGGCTGTAAGTAAGCATTTCACTGTAATGTCTGCACCTGTTGTATTCGGCGCATGTGACCAATAAAATTTGATTTGATTTGATTTATATTTGTTCTAGAGGAAACACACTCAACCGTTTGCAACGTTCACTTATTCCAATTATGATAACAGACATAATTTAGATCCATTGTACAACATGCCTTTTACTTCAGCTTTTCGCCCTTCAAATACCCAGATGCCCTAGTAAGTGTCCATTAAAACCTTGATGTTCCAGTGGACTGCTGAATTGCTTTCCCGAGTGTAACTGGCCATCAAGAAATGAGAGCCTTGGTGAAGCTCACACTGAATGCTTAAGTATCAGACATCTTTTTTAACAAGATCCAGGCATAAAGTACTGCGTAAAGTCAGGACTGCGAAATAAAAACAATTTAACTGATAAGATTATACTGCAATAGGAAGACGTGAGCATAACGATTCAACAGGGTTAAGAGCTTTTCTCATTTCCTAAATTCTTGGCTAAGCCCATATTTGTTTAGTACTAGCCTTTTATTGTGTTTTTACCAGGGTTTGTGTGTGAACTGAATAACCTTGAAGCAAAAGTTTAAATATAAGGAATGTAAAATTATACCTGGCTAAAGGCCCAGCGCAGTCAAAAATATGATTTTCCTGTGTTTTATATATATATTACCACACTATGAGGTTGGAATAATACTGTGCAATTGTGAAAATGATGATAATGCCCTTTTAGTATAAGAGCGGTTCGAATGTTTTGGTGGAATGGAGTTTTGGCCTGCCTGGTGACATCACCAGGCGATAAATTAGTTAATAGACCAATAAGAAAAAGTTCCAAACCTCTCTGCCAATAACAGCTAGTTTTCAGTTTCCCCCTCCCCACTCCAAGGCAGTCCTAGCAACATTCTTGTTTGAGAAATTGCTCATTGCTAATAAGCTACACTACATGACCAAACGTATGCGGACATACAGTGAGGGAAAAAAGTATTTGATCCCTTGCTGATTTTGTACGTTTGCCCACTGACAAAGAATTGTTCAGTTTATAATTTTAATGGTAGGTTTATTTGAACAGTGAGACACAGAATAACAAAAAAAAAATCCAGAAAAACGCATGTCAAAAATGTTGTAAATTGATTTGCATTTTAATGAGGGAAATAAGTATTTGACCCCCTCTCAATCAGAAAGATTTCTGGCTCCCAGGTGTCTTTTATACAGGTAATGAGCTGAGATTAGGAGCACATTCTTAAAGGGAGTGCTCCTAATCTCAGCTTGTTACCTGTATAAACGACACCTGTCCACAGAAGTAATCAATCAATCAGATTCCAAACTCTCCACCATGGCCAAGACCAAAGAGCTCTCCAAGGATGTCAGGGACAAGATTGTAGACCTACACAAGGCTGGAATGGGCTACAAGACCATCGCCAAGCAGCTTGGTGAGAAGGTGACAACAGTTGGTGCGATTATTCCCAAATGGAAGAAACACAAAAGAACTGTCAATCTCCCTCGGGCTCCATGCAAGATCTCACCTCGTGGAGTTGCAATGATCATGAGAACGGTGAGGAATCAGCCCAGAACTACATGGGAGGATATTGTCAATGATCTCAAGGCAGCTGGGACCATAGTCACCAAGAAAACAATTGGTAACACACTACGCCGTGAAGGACTGAAATCCTGCAGCGCCCGCAAGGTCCCCCTGCTCAAGAAAGCACATATACAGGCCCGTCTGAAGTTTGCCAATGAACATATGAATGATTCAGAGGAGAACTGGGTGAAAGTGTTGTGGTCAGATGAGACCAAAATCGAGCTCTTTGGCATCAACTCAACTCGCCGTGTTTGGAGGAGGAGGAATGCTGCCTATGACCCCAAGAACACCATCCCCACCGTCAAACATGGAGGTGGAAACATTATGCTTTGGGGGTGTTTTTCTGCTAAGGGGACAGGACAACTTCACCGCATCAAAGGGACGATGGACGGGGCCATGTACCGTCAAATCTTGGGTGAGAACCTCCTTCCCTCAGCCAGGGCATTGAAAATGGGTCGTGGATGGGTATTCCAGCATGACAATGACCCAAAACACACGGCCAAGGCAACAAAGGAGTGGCTCAAGAAGAAGCACATTAAGGTCCTGGAGTGGCCTAGCCAGTCTCCAGACCTTTATCCCATAGAAAATCTGTGGAGGGAGCTGAAGGTTCGAGTTGCCAAACGTCAGCCTTGAAACCTTAATGAGTTGGAGAAGATCTGCAAAGATGAGTGGGACAAAATCCCTCCTGAGATGTGTGCAAACCTGGTGGCCAACTACAAGATGGCATGAAAATGTGTCACCAATGTGTTTTGGCAAGGTAACAAATTGAGCTACGGAAAGGGCCACAGATGGCTGTAAAAGGCACTATGGGTAATCTATTAAAGGCCCAGTGCAGTCAAAAACTAGATTTTCCTGTGTTGTGTATAAACCCTGAGTATACAAAAGATTAAGAACACCTGCTCTTTCCATGACAGACTGACCAGGTGAATCCAGGTGAAAGCTATGATCCCTTATTGATGTCACTTGTTAAATCCACTTCGATTAGTGTAGATGAAGGGGAGGAGACAGGTTAACAAAGGATTTTGACGTCTGACCTCTGTGATTGCCAACAAGGGTTTTGCCACCAAGTACTAAGTCATGTTTTGCAGAGGGGTCAAATACTTATTTCCCTCATTAAAATGCAAATCAATTTATAACAGTTTTGACATGCGTTTTTCTGGATTTTTTTGTTGTTATTCTGTCTCTCACTGTTCAATTAAACCTACCATTACAATTTTAGACTGATCATGTCTTTGTCAGTGGGCAAACTTACAAAATCAGCAGGGGATCAAATACTTTTTTCCCTCACTGTATATACATGTCAAACATCTCATTCCAAAATCATGGGCATTAATATGGAGTTGGTCCCCCCCTTTGCTGCTATAATAGCCTCCACTCTTTTGGGAAGCCTTCCCACTAGATGTCGGAATATTGCTGCAGGGACTTGCTTCCATTCAGCCACAAGAGCATTAGTGAGTTTGGGCACTGATGTTGGGCGATTAGTCCTGGCTCGCAGTCGGCGTTCCAATTCAATTCATCGTTCGATGGGGTTGAGGTCAGGGCTTTGCGCAAGCCAGTCAAGTTCTTCCACACCGATCTCGACAAACCATTTCTATATGGACCTCACTTTGTGCACAGGGGCATTGTCATGCTGAAACAGGAAAGGGCCTTCCCCAAACTGTTGCCACAAAGTTGGAAGCACAGAATCGTCTAGAATATTTCCCTTCACTGGAACTAAGGGGCCTAGCCTGAACCATGAAAAACAGCCCCAGATCCTCCTCCACCAAACTTTACAATTGGCACTATGCATTGGGGCAGGTAGCGTTCTCCTGGCATCTTCCCAAACCCAGATTAGTCCGTCGGACTGCCAGATGGTGAAGCGTGATTCATCACTCCAGAGAACGTGTTTACACTGCTCCAGAGTCCAATGGCGGCGAGCTTTACACCACTCCAGCCAACGCTTTGCATTGCACATGGTGATCTTAGGCATGTGGCTGCTCAGCCATGGAAACGCATTTCATGAAGCTCCTAACAAACAATTATTGTGCTGACGTTGCTTCCAGAGGCAGTTTGGAACTTGGTAGTGTGTGTTGCAACCGAGGACAGACGATTTTTACGTGCTAGGCGCTTCAGCACTCGGCGGTCCCGTTCTGTGAGCTTGTGTGGCCTACCACTTTGCGGCTGAGCCGTTGTTTTTCCTAGACGTTTCCACTTCACAATAACAGCCCGTACAGTTGACCAGGGCAGCTCTAGCAAGGCAGAAATTTGACGAACTGACTTGTTGGAAAGTTGGCATCCAATGACGGTGCCACGTTGAAAGTCACTGAGCTCTTCAGTAAGGCCATTCTACTGCCAATGTTTGTCTATGGAGATTGCATGGCTGTGTGCTCAATTGTATACACCTGTCAACAACAGGTGTGGCTGAAATAGCTGAACCCACAAATTTGAAGGGGTGTCCACATACTTTTGTATATATAGTGTATTTTTTGTCTGTTTTCGACCATGTTAATCACAGTAAGGTGCATAAATGTTACACAGAAATGATTTGATATTGAGATAAAAACAGCTGCATTGGACCTTTAACTACTGTCTCTAGCTGTTACCTGTGGACCCACTATCAAATGCTTAGTTACTGCAGTGGGACTTGGTGTTACTGATAGTACGATAGGCAGGTGACCTTATATACAGAGCACAGTGCCATGTCTGATTTAGACCGGATGAACCAGGTGTGTAGCCTTTCTAGTCAATCAGTAACACTAATAGATCAAATAAGCGCCAGTTTGAAATGAAAGCACATGGGCACTTTGGCCCCAAAGGGACTAGATCTGACACCCTGGATTCATTTCAATAGTTCAATTTGGCTCCCTCTCCTCCTGTCCTTTATCAGAGAACTGATTTGGGAGACAGGTGATAGATCAAAGATCAGACTTAAATCCCAAACAGACTTCTGCCTCGTTGCTTTCACTGCATTTTCAGATTAGTGCAGATAAAGAAGACAAGACGAGGGGGAGCAACTTTAGACTATTGAGATGAAGCCCCCCAGACTCGCTCAAAAGTAGAAACCGCACCAACTTTTCAGACAGACAAAGCGACACAACCCTAGGCCCTCCACTAACACACTGCTCTCATTGAAAACCATTGAGTGGGCTGTGTTTTCTGCGCATAATTTGTCCGGCTTGGGAATGTTCTTACCGGTTGGTCAGCTCGGTTGATCCCCACCAGGAAGAGGGACTCTGCTATGAAGAGGCTGATGCAGAGGTTCTTGTGGATGGTGTTGCGGTCGCTCTGGAGACCCCGGAAGAAGCAGAAGGTGAACAAGCTGATGAGCAGGCAGACCAGAGAGAGCAGGATGCCAACCCACGTGATCACGTCCAACAGCATGTCATGGACCGGGTCTGTATTCTGGGAAAGGGTACAAAATAAGAAATGCATTAGATGAGATTACTGGGTAGGAGTAGAAGGTGCTCCACCAACATGAGACGAGGCGCAAACGAAAAATGGTATGAACATTAGGAAGGAATAGGCGCAACTGTTGCTCACAACCAAAATCCCCAGATGAGATTAATGGAATTTAATATAATTCTTGAGGGTATTTATGTTGTAACATTATAACTACACTACATTCTGTATTGAATCAAATAAAATCACTGGCCAAAATGACTGTCCCAGTGTTGACAATATGATTACCATCTGAGAATATGATAAGATATAAGGGTATTTTTGAGTTATTGATAACTAAAATTACACTCAACTATATCTTCACTAATAAACTCAAAACAAGATGAAACTGCCTTTTGGTAGGACACCATCGACCTCTCCACAAAATGACCTAGCTGTCACAGATAGGACCACAGGTGGTAATGTGGAAATGGCATGAAAATGTGTCACCAATGTGTTTTGGCAAGGTAACAAATTGAGCTACGGAAAGGGCCACAGATGGCTGTGAAAGGCACTATGGGTAATCTATTAAAGGCCCAGTGCAGTCAAAAACTAGATGTTCCTGTGTTGTGTATAAACCCTGAGTATACAAAAGATTAAGAACACCTGCTATTTCCATGACAGACTGACCAGGTGAATCCAGGTGAAAGCTATGATCCCTTATTGATGTCACTTGTTAAATCCACTTCGATTAGTGTAGATGAAGGGGAGGAGACAGGTTAACAAAGGATTTTGAAGCATTGAGGCATGGATTGTGCATGTGTACCATTCAGAGGGTGAATGGGCAAGACAAATTATTTAAGTGCCTTTGAATGGTGTTTGGTAGTAGGTGCCAGGCGCACCGGTTTGTGTCAAGAACTGCAATGCTGCTGGGTTTTTCACGCTCAACAGTTTCTCGTGTGCATCAAAAATGGTCCACCACCCAAAAGACATCCAGTTAACTTGACACAACTGTGGGAAGCATTGGAGTCAACATGGGCCTGCTTCCCCGTGGAACGCTTTCGACACCTTGTAGAGTCCATTCCTTGACGAATTGACGCAGTTCTGAGGGCAAAAGGGAGGGGGGGAGTGCAACTCAATATTAGGAAGGTATTCCTAATGTTTGGTATACTCAGTGTATATTTCCACACAATAATTCTGTGAAATTGTGAAAATGATGAGAATGCCCTTTTAGTGTCGAGCTGTTTGAAAAGACTGCCTGAAATTCCAGCCTGTTTTGATGGAATGTAGTTTTGGTCTGCCTGGCGACATCACCAGGCGGCATAAGATAATAGACCAATAAGAACGAGAGTTTCAAACCTCTCTGCCAATAACAGCTCGTCAAATTTGGCCCCTCACTCAGACCTCTCCCAGACAGTCCTAGCAAAATTCTTGCATGAGAAATTGCTCTTCGCTGAGAAGGGTACATTCCCAGACAGTTCCCAGGATTAAAAAAGTACCCTGGTAATGACAAATACCTGTATTTACAGTAAATAATGAGCAACTATGATGCCACAGCAACCATGAAAGGTGAAATCCACAGCAAACCATAATCCAAAAGCATGCAGGCCTTTGCGCTTATCATAAAGTTCCCTTATGGCACCATTATTGTCCTCATCAATCAGTTATGCCCCCATCAATAACACAGCAAATTCCATTTTCAAGATATAGAACTTTCAAAATACAGAAATACAGCTGGCAAAACGCAGCATCATATGATGCAAACTACATCAAACTTGATCGCTGACATGCAAAACATTTTGGGACTATGTCAACAATAGACTAATGAAACAAATACCAGAAGATAGTTTTTTGGGGTGGAGTTTTCCTTTAAAACAAGGCTTTGTTAAAAAAAAAAAATGTAAAAGAAGCCAGTACCCAGCTTTAAACTGACTGCTGGTCCCTGCTGGATTCGTAGAACCATCAGGGGGGAACTTGACGTTTCCGGAGTCGACTTTGATCACACAGGTAACACTTAAGAATAGTAACACTAAAAAGTAGAAATACATTTCTCTAAAGCTATAGCTATTGGCCAGTAGTATACCACACTGCATCCTACTGCTGGCTTGCCTCTGAAGCTAAGTTGGTTCTGGTTGGGCCCTGGATGAGAGACCAGATGCTGCTGGACGTGGTGTTGGAAGGCCAGTAGGACGCACTCTTTCCTCTGGTCTAAAATAAAATATCCCAATGTCCCAGGGCAGTGATTGGGGACATTGCCCTGTGTACAGTGCCGTCTTTCGGACGGGACGTTAAATGGGTGTCCTGACTCTCTGGTCACTAAAGATCCCATGGCACTTATCGTAAGAGTAGGGGTGTTAACCGCGGTGTCCTGGCTAAATTCCCAATCTGGCCCTCATACCATCATAGCCAACTAATCATCCCCAGCTTCCAATTGGCTCATTCATCCCCCTTCCTCTCCCCTGTAACCATTCCCGAGGTCATTGCTGTAAATGAGAATGTGTTCTCAGTCAACTTACCTGGTAAAATAGGGAGAGAAAAAAAAAAGAGACTGTTTTTCTTCTCAATAGCCTTCAGCTGTGATGAACATGACAGCAAATTGTATTTACATGGTGTTTCCTGAGGATGTCAGTTTTGTAGAGCAGATATTCAATCACTCAAAATGTGTGTGTGTGCATGTGCAATTTCAAAGGCCTGTGCTTACACAACAGTCCTCAAGGACAATATCAGTGAGTCACAGCTAGAGAATGCGCCTCTCACTGTTTTCTTACTGGAAGCACACAGTATTAGAGCTGGGACAAAAATCCAAAAATTACCGACACAGACATTGCCTTCCTCTTACCGAAGCATTTTGCTTACGTCTGTAATTTTCTGTGATTTAGCTACACAGCGTTCCTGTAGATAGTTCTAAAACCATTATTTGGTCAACAGCAATAGCCTATGCATTATGTTGATTCCTGCTATGAAACTATCTGCCTGTCCCTGTTTGGCTATCGGCTGCTGACTCTCACTTCCACTCCCCACTGTGACACGGAGGAGGGAGAGATGCATTGAGAAGCTCAAGCATAGGCCTATATGACCGTTGCTCAAAATGCTATTGTGGAGATAAATACAGTATTTCTCACATCTTAACATTAAGTTAATGTCAACACTTTACAACCGGAGTAGGCTGGCTTTGACACAGCCTAGGCCTAACGCTATATGACTCTAGCCTACATTTACTGATAGATTAATCAATTAGCCTACATGGCTATTTATCAACAATATCATATTTAGAGTTAGCAATCTAGCTAAGTGTTTTAGTTCCCACTTCCTCAGGTGGTGAATAATATAGTCTATAGGCCAATAGGCCTATGCACAAAATATGTCTCAGTTGTCTTACTTGGCACTGGGGGAAAAAAAACTGTCTAGAGCCCTGCCGTTAATGTTAAGTCACTGTCCATTAAAACATGCAAAAAATTATAGTTATATTTGTTGTTATCAAGTAAAGTAGTTACATGTATCGCAATGTGATCCAGCACCTCCCCCAAAATAATCTATGAGAAAAGTGTCAAATTATTGCAACACAGACATTTTTTCACACAAACGAGCACTTCCTCTAAATCAAACTTCGATCCGAGTCAGCAGTATTATTCTCCACGGGGGGCAGGGTAAGAGGCTGAAGCATCCAGCAGGGATTTTCTATAGCCTCCGTTATAGCAAGGGATACTTGGTAGGAAGTGACACACTAAGGCTTGTTTAACGGGTGCGCGGAGCACAGGAGAGAAGGGAGAACAGATGCTGATCATTAAGGGGCTGCTCTACAATAACAGTCGACACGCTACCCTGAGACTGGGGAGAGGCGTTCTTTCGATTTTCTTGCCTGATGAGCCGTTGTGTATACATCAGGGGGATGGCATGACTGTGGAGCAGTGCGCCGTAGAGCAGTGTGTGTGTGTGGCTGTCTCTGGCCTCCGTGCTACAAAGGCATCTTATGCGCTGGGTGGTGGCAGATGCAGAGTGTTTTGAAAAGGCGGCCTAGGGTGAGTTGAGCTAGCGAGCTGTGCCATGGCTTCAGGTTCTATCCATCACAATCTTTACCTCGATAGGAAGGGGGGGGGCTGGGTCAAAACGGGAGGGAAGGGTAGGGTGCATCCACACGTGTGTGGTGGATCTACTGCAGTGACATCTTTTTGTTCTGGCCACAACCTTATCCCTACGATGTAGGCCATTTTCTGGGGGCTCGTCCGGGCGTCTGCGGCAGGAATGGGAACTTGGATCCCGAAAGCAGCGGACCGTAATTCACTCCAAAATTCAGTCTCTGTCGTGGGAGGCCGAGGAGTCATACCACAGGACATGTAACTTACTCAGCGGTACGAGCCTTGCGTATATTCGATTTGTCTTCCCTCCAACCTTTAAACACACATATATTTTATTCTGGTTGGATGCCTCGGGAGATTGGGTTCGGCCCTGTTCTGTTACCACGAGGCACAAAATAGGACCTCAGGTTGATGGGAAGTGAGATGCGGAGGTGTATACATCTCAACTGCATTCCCTGTCACCCTATGCCCTGACCACTCCAATCTAGTCAATCCAATCAGATATCACACGATACCAAATTAATCACCATTGCACCCTTCATCCTAACAGGGGGTGTCTCCACTGGGCTCTGGAAGTGTTGAGATCCACTGGGCCAATGGCAGTGAGAGGAGATGAGCTTCATTCCTTGATATACCTCAAAGAACCGCTTGCAGCATGAAGCCAATCCAATTAAAATTAATAAATCTGCCTGGACGACGCCCAGAGAGAGAAAGAGCAGTAGAGAGAGCTGGAGAGCGCTTTGAGTCATAAAATATGTCAGGGCAGGGCACATGTTGTGGTAAGGGTAGCAGAGGCCCTACCGAGGCGTGTCGAGCGTCGAATTCACGTACGGGCAAGGATTTACGATCTTAAAGAGCCAGGAGGAGACCTTGAAGCTGTATGCAGGGAGTTTACATTCAGTGCATGTGCCTAATAGAGCCGCACAATATTCACAGTGACGATAACCGTGATATACTGTAATGCCGGTAGTAGAGCCTTCTAAAGCGGAATGCGTCCAGATAGCAGTCGGGACATAGCTCTGTCCACCTTCATCTTTACTTTTAGTAAATAAGCGTACAATAAAAGCACATGGATTACTTTCTCTTTGAACATCACGACACTGGGACCGCAACAGCTTATCATGCCACGTCATGATATAGATGGATGGAAAGCTACATACAGTTGAAGTCGGAAGTTTACATACACTTAGGTTGGAGTCATTAAAGCTTGTTTTTCAACCACTCCACAAATTTCTTGTTAACAAACTATAGTTTTGGAAGTCGGTTAGGACATCTACTTTGCGCATGACACAAGTAATTTTTCCGACAATTGCTTAAAAACTGATTATTTCACTTATAATTCACTGTATCACAATTCCAGTGGGTCGGAAGTTAACATACACTAAGTTGACGGTGCCTAACCCTCCCATTGTCCTAGGGTCAAAATGACCCGCCACTGTGTTGAACCAACTTTATTTAATTTTTATATTTTTGGGATCATTTGTGAGAAGGAGGCAGTGAGACTTTAAAGAAAGTATCACTGCCTCCTCACAAATGATGGTTCAACACAGTGGCGGGTCATTTTGACCCTAGGACAACGGGAGGGTTAAACAGCTTGGAAAATTCCAGAAATTGATGTCATGGCTTTAGAAGCTTCTGATAGGCTAATTGACATCATTTGAGTCAATTGGAGGTGTACCTGTGGATGTATTTCAAGGCCTACCTTCAAACTCAGTGCCTTTGCTTGATATCATGGGAAAATCAAAAGAAATAAGCCAAGACCTCAGAATTTTTTTTTGTAGACCTCCAGAAGTCTGGTTCATCCTTGGGAGCAATTTCCAAATGCCTGAAGGAACCACGTTCATCTGTACAAACAATAGTATGCAAGTATAAACACCATGGGACCACGCAGCCGTCATACCGCTCAGGAAGGAGACGCGTTCTGTCTCCTAGAGATGAACGTACTTTGTTGCGAAAAGTGCAACTCAATCCCAGAACAACAGCAAAGGACCTTGTGAAGATGCTCGACGAAACAGGTACAAAAGTATCTATAGCCACAGTAAAACAAGTCCTATATCGACATAACCTGAAAGGTCACTCAGCAAGGAAGAAGGCACTGCTCCAATACCGCCATAAAAACACCAGACTACAGTTTGCAACTGCACATGGGGACAAATATCGTACTTTTTGGAGAAATGTCCTCTGGTCTGATGAAACAAAAATAGAACTGTTTGGCCATAATGACCATCGTTATGTTTGGAGGAAAAAGGGGATGGCTTGCAAGCCGAAGAACACCATCCCAACCGTGAAGCACGGGGGTGGCAGCATCATGCTGTGGGGGTGCTTTGCTGCAGGAGGGACTGGTGCACTTCACAAAATAGATGGCATCATGAGGAAGGAAAATTATTTGGATATATTGAAGCAACATCTCAAGACATCAGTCAGGAAGTTAAAGCTTGGTCGCAAATTACTCTTCTAAATGGACAATGACCCCAAGCATACTTCCAAAGTTGTGGCAAAATGGCTTAAGGACAACAAAGTCAAGGTATTGGAGTGGCCATCACAAAGCCCTGACCACAATCCTATAGAAAATGTGTGGGCAGAACTGAAAAAGCATGTGCGAGTAAGGAGGCCTACAAACCTGACCCAGTTACACCAGCTCTGACCCACTGGGAATGTGATGAAAGAAATAAAAGTTTAAATAAATCATGCTTTCTACTATTATTATGACATTTCACATTCTTAAAATAAAGTGGTGATGCTAACTGACCTACGACAGGGAATTTTTACTAGGATTAAATGTCAGGAATTGTGAAAAACAGAGTTTAAATGTATTCGGCTAAGGTGTATGTAAACTTCCAACTTCAACTGTAGGTGGATGGATGGAAGTTAGAAGTTATAATTAAGCAATTATGCCCGAGGAGGTGTGGTATATGGCCAATATACTACAGCTAAGGGCTGTTCTTACGCACGATGCAACGCAGAGCAATATATCACAAACCCCCGGGGTGCCTTATTGCTATTATAAACTGGTTACCAATGTTATTAGAACAGTAAAAAGTAATGTTTGTCATACCGTGGTATACGGTCTGATATACCACGGCTTTCAGCCAATCAGCATTCAGGACTCGAAACACCCAGTTGATAATAAGTTATAAGTTAACATAGTGGGAACTGTGCACACTATGACTGTGCCCTCTGTACATTTCAAAGCCAGAATGTATCATGGTAGCTTCATGATTTCAGATACAGACACCCCACCAGGACACGGATGTATGAGGCTTAGCATCCCCCCTTCCATCATCCCATTGAGAAACACCATTGATGTATACCCTGGTGGTCCCTAGGGAATGGTGCTACTTACTGGTGGCTCGATATTACCCCCAGCCAATCGTGGCATACAGACTCACCACCTAAGTAATGGCCTTTAGGTGGAGGCACAACACGTCTATCTTTCTATGTCTCGGTTGGGGCTTCAGCTGCTATTTTAACAGTGCCTCCACAACCCCGGGGTTTCTGGGAAATTAAAGCTTAAATTTAAAGGAGGGTGGTTCGATAAAGAATGGACTGTTGCTGCCTTGGGTAGCTGGCTGGGTGGGTGGTTGGTGTGATTTTGGGCCATGGTATTTAAGGTATTTAAGAAGAACGTCTAAAGCAGGCCTTTCCAAATGTCGGTCCTTTAGTAACACTGGTGTACTTTGGTTTTGAACTCCAATCCCTTTGTTATGCTTGATTAATATTTTACATGGCAACTGGAATGCACATGACATCACAGTGTAGAAAACAAAGAGGCCTTTGAATCTAAAATATTTCATGTAGATAACAACAAGATGACATCAAAATAGATGAAACCATTTCTATGTCGTATCAGACAACCGCATATAAAACATATCAAGTTGGATATTGATAGGAATGGCAACCTGCTAGGACAAGTTGAAGCAATTCTCAAAAGCCATTGGAAACCTCCATTCAAATCACAACCAAATCTTCTCTTTGAGTAACTTCCAGCTGGAAGGAGGAGCATATCAATAGACAAACAACCCTTCAACTATTATTATTATTTTTAACATACTATTTATATGCTTGATGAGAGAGCAGTTGGACTTGCATGAAGAGGAGACAGCGTCAAACTGTACCTTGACAGAGCACTTAAGCAATCAATCTCATCCTCACGTGAAACTCCCTCGCAATCACTTCCCCCCAGGAGACACAAAAGCGACATAATCTCTGACTGACACACAGCCGGTGACGGCCCGTTTGGTTTATTTTGTGTACGCGGCCGACTGGTGTACTTCAGTGCGGTGGCAGGAACAGCTGACAAATGGGATGGCTTTCACCATCAAGCTAGATCATGTTGGTGCACAAAAGTCCTGTGAGGTGAGACAGACAAAGGTGACAGCACTCGATCCCTTCCTGATTGTTTGGATGGTAGCTACCTCATCCCCTGTCGTTGACAGACACAGTGTTTGTCTGTTGGATTTGATAGTGAGTCACACTGTCAACTCGCTTCAGGACTGTGTTGACTTTTTAAAGAGGACAACGCTAAAGAGTACAAACTAAACGTGCTTGACAAAATGTAAAAAATTGAAATTACTTTGTCAACACAACCCTTCAATAAGTGCTAGTCCACAGAGTATCAACAAGTCAAGCCACGTGCCAAGAACCTTGTGCCGATGAACTAGACGTGTTTGAAAAAAAAAAGCTAGGTGGAACTTTGTTTACTGACATTTCAAGGTATATTGCAGTATTCTGGAACCCCATAGGGCTGGGTTCCAAAACCCTTTTGAATAGCAAAGATGGATATTTATTCTTCTTCTTTGGCAGAGATCAAAATGTATGTAGTAAGTTCAGAAAGGTGATAATTGACCACAAAAGTGATCATTCACTAGAAACATAATTCCTCAGAGAGCCAAAGCCTGTGGATTCTGAATACATACATCTACAGCACTGAACGAACATGACAATGAGATGGTGAGGAGGTCAGTTATTGTTGAAAGGTACCTCATTAGCTGTTCCATGTTGTCTTAATTGCTTGAAACAGCATTAAGAAAAAGCTCACATTATTAAATCACTAAGTTCATGCTTCTGATACGGGGTCACCCTTGGTCAGCTTCAAAATGTCCAACAGGTACAGTTCTGATTGAAAACGGGTTGGTTGGGAAACCATTGCATAGTGTGTATTAAATACTGAGTTCTATATGCCGTTTACTATACATCACAGGTGGCTGGTGGCAACTTAATTGGGAAGGACGGGCTCATAGAAATGGCTGGAATAGACGGAATGGTATTGACACATCAAACACATGGTTTCCTTGTGTTTGATACCATTGCATTCACTTCATTCCAGTAATTATTATGTGCCTTCCTCCCCTCACCAGACTCCCGTGCTGTAAGACTTTGATATGTGTACAATACTACTGCTCTTAACACTACCTCAATATAGTCCTAGATAAATACATATTACAAATGATTACCAATATGTGCATAAGATAATACTGCAACGTTTACAGTAATATGTATCAACGTATCAAACAGTGCATAGTTATCATAAAATCACTTAGAATTTCTTGCAATAGAGTAGCATTATTGTTATTTTCTACTGGAACACCCCATCTAGCGGGCGAAATTACAGCAAAATGAAAGA